AGACGTGAAAAGATTTAAAGGTTTTATTTTGCTTTTCAAGCAATTAAATGGATGATGGGCCTTGGTTGTATAAATCATTATTGAATACATTGATATTCAATAGGTGACATAATCCACTTTCTGAAAGAAAATCGTCAAGGAGACTTTTGAACCCGGTTGTAGTTTCACTGCAACGGAGGTTCACTGGCAGTCTGTTCCATATGGTTGAGTAGCGAATAAGGAAAAAATTCTGACGTAAGTTTGTGTGGGTTCTTGAAAACGCCAGAATATTCTCCTTATTGCGTAGATTGTGGGATGATATCATAAGATATGAAGGGGTGGATACCGAAGAGTAGGAAATACCGTTAATAAGCTGGTAGATAAAGACAAGGTTTAATTTCATACATCTGATCCAAAGAAGTTCTAAGTTGAGTTGGTGACATCTTTGGTGATAGTCTTTGTTATCGGAATACCCCAGAACAGCTTTGGTGAACTTTCTTTGAACACCTTCAATTCTAATCAGGTCATTATGTCTACAATTACTGTAAACTAAAATACCATATTCAAGAATGGGTAAGATACATTTTCTGTATAGTAACAACCTCGGATCGATATTATTGAAGTTTATCATTATCAATCCGATCAGCTTTCTAGCTTTGGATACTTGAGATATAATGTGTTCAGAAAAGTTCAGACCATTGCTATATCTTAAACCCAGGTCACGAACAGTGTTGAGAGGTTTGAGTGTATGTGTCTGTACAGTCAGATTTAAGTTAAGACAGCGACCAATGTGAATAAATCCACTTTTGTCAACATTAAGTGGCATATTCCACGAAATAGTCCATTCGTACAACTTGTTTATTTCCTCTTGGATTACCGCTGAAATATAGCTTTCTTTCGTGGGAGAAGAGAATGAATAAACTACTTTCAGGTCATCAGCAAAAAGGAAAGGCTTACCATACTGAAAGAGGGAACACACATCATTGATAAAAAGGAGAAAGAGTAATGGACCAACCACACTTCCTTGTATAACCCCACTGGTTACATTTACAGGTTTAGAGTAGCAAGATCCAAAGCGAAAGATTTGGCTACGTTCTTCTTAAAAAGATTTGAACCAAGATAAAAAAGGATTCTGTATGCCGAATGAAGAGAGTTTTAAAAGAAGAAGTTTGTGTGAGACACTGTCGAAAGCCTTACTAAAATCGAAGTAAAGAACTATCACTGACTGACCAACAACTCTTCTCTGGGTAATTTGATCAAAAACCTCAGGTGTGATGTGAAACATGAGCGTTTAGTCATAAACCCGTGTTGAGATGGGCTAATCAAACTAGCTGAAAGTAAAAATGTTAATAGCTGTTTGTAGATGATTTTTTCCATGGTTCTTGAGAGCACGGATGTCAAATTAATTGGCCTATAGTTAATAATATTACTACGTGATCCTGTTTTGAATCTAGGGGTGATAAGGGATGTTTTTCATACAGATGGATAGGTTCGATATTCCATAGATAGATTGGAAAGTTTCAAACAAAATAGTGGAAAATCTCTACCTCCATATTTCACAAATGATGAAGGTATCCCGTCAGATCCACCATCATAAGACTTTTTCAGGGCAGCTATGGCCTGCTTGATGTTGGAGGGTGTAAAATCAATTTTCGACAGATGTCTGGATGTCAGCATTGGAAATGCAATGATGGAGTTTTCAGTCCCAGTTTTGTAGCACTGCGAGAAGTGCTTGCTGAATTGTTCGCACATAGTATTCGGGTCGTTAACAATGCTTCCGTTAACTATGAAGAATTTGGGCGTACCAAGGGAATTTGACTTTACACGGGATTTAAAATGTCGAGGTATTGATAATTCTTGGCTTTTACTACGTAGAGCTTTATTTTCTATATCCATGAAATACTTACGTTTAGATGAAGCATTTCTGTCGACTAATTTAAGTATACTCTGAAGTGCATACACATCATTCTGCTGATGGTAGCGGTATTTTAATTTACTCAGCTTTCTTTTAAAAGTATTTTGGCCCCTATTAGCATTATAAGCCACACGGCCAATAGCTGGAGCAGTGCAGTCGAGACAATATATCAGGTTGTGGTATAGATTGGAAAGCGCAATGTCAACGTTATGTAGTTTATCATAAGGCGAAATACAATTTAATTGAGATGTAGTGACTATAAGTTGTTGGAATCAACTAACCTTATGTGCCGCAACTATATGTGATGCAGTGCTGCAAGATGTGTTCGGCTTAATAAGTCTCTGCAAGATGATAAACAGTGAGTGATGCCTATGTACATTATCAGGGAGAACATAAGTTGTAACCTAGGGGAATGTACTCCCAATTCATGTCAGTGATGATGACTTGAACCTTAGTCAGTTTTGGGGTAAATTCAACAGTGATGTTTTCAGTTTGCAAAAGATTTGCTTGAATGCTTATGCTGATTATTTGCATGCATGGTTTCGTTGCCAAACCTCCAATTAGATTAAAAAAGTCTTAAAATATTTACTGGAAGAACAACTGATAGAGAAACATACTGTAATAATCTGTAGTGGATGAAGACAACGAGAAAACAACACTATTTAGTGATAATTATAAGTCGATTTGTTGATCGATGTCGTTGATAATTCCACCAATTTTTATCAATAATGTTACGTGATTGTCATAACAGTGCTTTACAATGATATCATGAAAACATTTTGTTTCAGTAGTTATAGTGCTGTTGACGTGTTCGTCACTCCCTCGAATCAGAACAATTGAATAAATGCAGATAATTGTATGGATTTCATTGTATGAGCTATCTTAAATGATCTTATGACTGAAGAAAATTTATAGCCTGAACTCACCGTATGTTTTCGAAGTAGTGTGTGGAGGACCAGACGATATATAAACGCAAAAAGTCTCAGCAAAGTAAATAAAAATCAATAGTAATATTAATATATACCAGTTAAATGTTATAAATACAATAAAAACGGGACTTTACTTAAGTTCACCCAAAATGATGCGTGTTCAGCTTTAGTCTGATACAATTAATCCACAATTATAAATGCTTGGTAATTCCAAACATGTCGATGAACTCTCCAGTGGTATAATCCAAAATGAGGTATGGTGTATTCGCACTCACAGTCTATGAATGTAAATAATATTTGTTTTAGGTCTCAGTTAACTCAATCACGAATGAAAATAGAACGAGGAATGTGTGCGAAGCAGTGTATTTGTTAACCAGCACAGTACGTCACGCTGTGTTAGTATCACAACGGAAAAAGTGTTCAAAATCATTTACCAAAACATCAGGTACAATCATTTGATGGTAAATATACATACGATGAAAGGTTGACAAGATAAATACAAATAATATTGAAAACTATTTACAAAATAAGCTTGTCAGTCATATCTCCACACGTGTTATCTCTGTTGTTTGAAAATGGAAATCGAAAATTTGAAATAAGTCGGGAAGTGGTCGGAAGAAGGATTTTACAGTATAATGTTTACTTTAAAACAGATTGAAGTGTTAAGTGAAGAAAGAATATGATTAGCTGCAGATAACCATTCAGTCCTTACTAACGTCGCTGGTCGATGTATATTTACGTTATTTACAGGTCGTATATACTAGAGCTGGATGTTTAACAAGTTCATTTCGCTGAAGCTTGTAAGTGCTACTAAAGCTTGTTAATGAACCACCGAATCTAATAATTAATATAGGCGGCCAGTTATTAGTACCAACTGCGTTAGTATGTTATGAGTGCTAATCAGTATAACATTTCGATAATACGTATGAGCACTAATCAGAGGACTGATGGAATACTGGTTTAACGGAAGTAAAAATCGATCGAGAAAGTCAAAGTAGGAATAAAGAATAATAATGATAGGCTGTTTCTTTGTCCCGACTGACCAATGTAGAATTATGGTCCAATTCGATATTAGTACCGTTCTAATAATACAGTTAAGCTCAATGTTGATTTGTTATGATGTAACTGCCGATTCTTTAAGATCTTACGTGGAAGTCACACCATTGTATACATTGACTCATCGTGTCGTAACGATCAAAAATATATGATGGAGAACACATTCAGGCTGGAGACAGAACAATATATATTTAATATGGGTAGCAGCGAGTTGTACAGAGCGACCACGACTAGGAAGTTGAGCGATGCCATCCGATCGATTCTAAATAACTGAATTCATTCCTTCCACCTTCTTCATCGCTGTGTTTTTCTCCGCGTTAAATATTGAATATCTATTTTCCAGATTGTCTCGTGTTCAGCCTTGAAAACTGCATGGTTAGGGCCCGATGCCACTACAAACTAATCCAGCTATCATCGAAAACGTACAGGTATTTATTGTTGATTGTCGATGCAAAATATCGGGATATCATCAACACTGACCTACGTTAGTAGGGAACAAACCAGCTTCCATTTCAGGAGGCAGTCGAGAAGAGCTACTGGCGGTGATTCAGATGCCCAATATGAAACTTTTCAATATAAGCTTTCGTTGTAATAATCACGCTACTATTTTATTGGAAACACCGCGTTTTTATATTTGTTCCTGAGTAATTGAAATACTCACCACGCTCTTTCCTTAAAAAGAATTCAGCAAAGTACGGCTTTATTTTGCTCTTCCTATCTCAGTTAGTTACCTTCTTTGAGGACAGAATGTTCCGCGTAATTGTCACTATGTTCTACATACATAGGGAAGTCTCAAAATTCGGAGTACCTCATATCGCCACTTTAAACCAGTGGCTTTTCGGCTTTGAAGCGAAAAATGCAAAATTATGGTGTAGCCCTGATACTTGCTCTGCCTTGTATTTTAGAGAGACATGGAAGGAAAATAGGTCTTACAACGTCTCCTTAAGGGCTTTAAGTCACCGAAGAAATGTACGGAGATTATTGATATTAAATGTAATGCGCGAAAACGTCATGTGACGAACCCACTAACTCACAATACCATAAACAATTTTAATTTTCTGTTATCACCTTACAAACACCTTTATTGAACAGTTTATTACTACCAAGTGTTTGGAAATGATCGCCGGTTGCGTTTCTAAACACTTGTATTCCGAGAATAAGGCCTCTCCCCGAAAGCGATATCGTAGTTTAACCTTCTATTCCCGGAGGTCCATGGGTTTTCAGTGTTAAATTTTAGGCTTGTATGATAAATTTTGCAGCGGTTAACTTGGGGGAGAAACTACACCAGAAACGAGATCACTTACCAGTGAGAAAATACTGAGGAGAGATTCTACTCACTTGCACCCTATATTTATCATATATGGAAAACTCTCCATATCTCTCAAATACAGCCTCTTAATGGAATATATAGGATGAAAGCACAACGAGGATACAAATCTACTTAAGTAAATTCACCACATGAGGTCCTGGAATTTCAGCACTTTATAGCACACCAACTTCATAATGAGAATGTTGATTGTTGCATAAATCTCATATTACAAATCAATTTCTAGATTTGTCTGTTAGCATATGCTAAAAGTATCGAAGTCCAAAGTTTGAAAGTATTCATAGGGTCATCAGAAGACCCAGAATAATTGTGATATTGTTTGGTACTTTTTTGTGGGTCACACTATTTCGTATCAAATTTAAAGGATTGTTACGTCGTATTTCTGCTGATTAAAAATTTCATTCATGGTCAAATTTAGGAAAAGCGTTTACTGTTTGCGGCATTTTGAAAAAAACCCCAGCTGGTATTGTGTCCTCACAGTTGTAAGACCGACGGGAGTTCAATAACAAATTTTCGACTTCTAAAAGCGTTTCTTTGCTTCTAAATTTTAATTATTCACCCACCATACATCCCCACAAGTGTAACCTATCGACAGAGCAGTTTGAAGTACGTTCTAAGTTCAAACGACTTTTTTTAGTAGTAAAAATGTTTCTGAATACTTTGTCACCTAAATTTTATGTGGCTCTAACAGGAACAAGCTCCTTAATATCGGGGCTTATTTTGGTATTGATATCTCTTTCATTTTAACATTTAGATTTTTGAGTGGTGGTACTTTAAGAAGTACGGAAAGTCGTTTATTGAGCAAATTTCTTGGACCCACATATATCCACTCATTGGTGGAAGTGATGAAGATAATGAATGTGATAGTGTGGAATCTAATGGTCACCTAGCGTCTACGCAAGGTTTGCTAGTATTTTTTTAAATTCCCTCTAGAGTGTAAGGTGTGGAGAAATCCTTATAGTTTGTTTAGGGGGGCGGAGTATCGAAAGTTTTTTCAGGAAACAGGTCGTGACCCCCTGACGTATTATGATATGAACTTGTCTGCTCAAGATCATCAAACATTTTTCACATGTGAAGCAGATGGCGGAAAGCCTGAGTATGAAAGTATGTTGTTTTTTAGTACGAAAGTATTTCAAGTTATGCAACTTTCATGGAGAGAAAGAAATCACGAAGAAAGAATCAAGAAGACCAAGGAGGCCTTGGCTAAGAACCCTGAATGTGCAACTGCAATGATCTTGCTTGCAGAGGAGGAGTGCTCCTACATCGTAGATGTGAGTTTATAAGTTCCTACTTAATATCTATTTTTCATGTCCATACCTTCCTTTCACTTCATTTAAGGTATAGTACACACATTCTGGTTTACTGGTAGATGATTTGCCTCCGTATTTAATGTATCATCGGAAATACTAATAATTTACAACCATACGTAACATCCAGTTGTCACGCTTTTATCTGCTTCGGTTTTGCACCCGGGCAGTATCTCATCCCTCACACAAATTGAATGATTTATGTGGCGTGTATATATTTGGTGCCCTCTCGTACCAATCTTCATGTGTTTAAATAAACATATAAAAATGAATAAACAACCGTACGCAATAACCAGTTATTGTTGAGTATTGAAACGAGTTGATAACAGTTCTTTATGAGGGTTTCTGTCCCTTTTTAATAGCTGTTATGGGGGATAGTCCTTGTATTTAAGCACGACAGACAACTGTCAGCCATCGAAGATTTAGAACATTCATATCTTACATAGATCTCATCCTTCTTATAGCTCAGTCACGGCTGGCTGTCAACACTTAGTAGTAGTTTAACATTACTATTGGATTCACATACTTATCTTACTAAGTTTGATATTTGTAAGTTTTTCAATATTTTTATACTTTGAAGCTAATCTTAATACAGTTGGGAGTATTCTCGCATGCTCTATCAGTACCCTAGTAGCAATATATTTCTTCATCAATATCGTCCTTTTAATATGATAGGTTTGCTGTAGTTTTCCAGCAACATCAGGTCCACTATCCCATATAAACAGAAACCACCAGGCGATTACACCATAAAAGAAAGAAAGATATCTGTCCTAATGTTATTTACTTACTATATTTTTTTAGTGCATGAAACTATTCACTTACATCTTTGTATACATAGTAGTTATTATATGCTGCCTAAACCTGCTAAGTATCATAGATTTTCGTTACTCACTGATGTTTGTTCTCGACGTGAAAATTGTTAGTGAATCTAGATTTAAGATTTTGTTGGCCTTTGTACATTCAAAGCAAGCTAACATCCATAAATCCTTAGTGATCCACATTTCCCTGCATTCAAAAAAATTACTGTTATCATAAGTGTCTGTGCTCGGTTTCAGGATATATGTTAAATGCCCACCAGACTAGTAAACATTTTTAAAATGTCGTTTCTAAACACTAATTACTATCCAAGCGGGGATACTAGTATAAACGCAAAGAGAAAATAAATCTAAATAATCAATCATAGCGTAATCCAGATGAGTTTTAATAGATAAACTGGTGTCATCAATTAAAGTATATGAACTAAACATAACTATGTATTTACCATTTTCAATAAATTATTAATTGTCATACTTAGACGTGGATTTCCATCCCAAAATTCGTAATTTGGTCAATCTATAAATTTGTCAGTTGGTATATAATATTTGGGGCAAAGAATACTCCAGTTTGTTTGAAATAAGTCAGACCCTACATGCATTTTGGATTAAAGTAAAAATTCAGATTTCCGATGTAAAACCGTATTATCGTTTATTCGCGTTTAAAACTGATCTCATGTTCAAAGTATATCTCCAACTAAATCTTTGTTTCTTGCTTGTTTGCTGTCATTGAGTCTAACTATTTAGTCACTAATTCATCCTAAATATTTTGATAGTGTTTCTAATTCGAAGTTAGATTTACAGTTGATGTTAATTTGTTCACATACTGGGACAAACTGATTGGCTTCCTTTCAGATGTGTTTTAGAGATATTAATCACATTGTGAAGGAAACTTTTAGTGTCTGCCAGAGAAACATGGGTACAGCGGCATTTTAAATCGTGATTAGATGTTTTAAGAAATAAATGCTTTGTTTTAGTGGCAGCCTAGTCAGTGACATAGAAACTCACGGAACATAATTCCTTGTGACATGTTTATATTGAAATGACGGGCGCAGAAATTGTTTATACTAATAGACATGACCTAGCTAGCGGTTAGTCGTCAATTTCTATTTCCTTTATGTAGTTTTTATGTCGAATTTCTGTTATTTTATGGCTTTATTCGGTGTTTTTTTAGGTAAACTGAATTAAATATATTGTGTTTCTGCTAAATATTAGTCCTTGTTTATATCTTTCTCCCAGGTAGAGAAAGTATACAAACAAGCATATAAAGTTGCTGAGACAAATCTTCGTCGTTCTCAACAGCTTCAAAACCACAGTCCAGCACATGAATCAATGTATCGGAGAGATATACATGCATTTGTCTTCATTCGACGTCGACTTGCAATGTGTGCAAGAAAATTGGGTAAATTGAAAGAAGCAATAAAAATGATGAAAGATGTATGTGTTCTATGTTGTTTTGAGAAAATATTCCTAGCTACTGTGCATCATTATTTTCCATTGTCAGTATTCTATAATTTATATATTGAAAGATAAGTGCTCACTTGCAATGTTTCAAGTCAGAGAAATATACCTTCAAGGAATCAATAATGAACTTGGCCTGGTGATTTATTGTTAAAGAATAAGTGCACATTTTAGTTAAGAAAGTTCTTATGGCGATTAACTCGTTTACTTGTAAAGCTTTTTCATCATATTTTAGTGTAGAAACATTCTGTAATTAGATTAATTAGGTTAAATTACCTTAAGTCTGTTAGTTTAACCTGTTACTTTTAATCAATAACGTAAAAGGCAAAAAACAAAATAGATTAATATTTCTAGGTGAGAAATACGTTCCTGTAAATTTAAAGGAAATGATAGTCATCCAGAAAAATGGAGATGAGTGCATCTTCCTAATGAATCGCGCTAGTTGCGATATGTCAAATGTCCTATCATTGCAGTATGCATAGTAAGATATTCCTATTAACTCTCCCGTCATTCAAATCAAACCATAATTCCAGGTAAGGGAATCAATGTCAGTGGTGATTAGATGAAAAAACGTATTATATAATCAGAAGAACTGTAATGATTCATTAGGAACTTCCTTCATATAACTAACATCTGGTTTTTATCTCCAACTTTATCCTCAGAAATGAATCAAATTCAGAATAACTATTAGTTTCATGATTCTTAAAGCTGTTTTGTTTTAAATAACGTGTCCTTGTTTATCATTTGATAATTTTAAAGGCCGTGCATAGAAAAAACCATGTATCCATCAGTTCTCAACATTTAATATTTTTATGCTTATACTTCAGTTTTTACTCATCACTCCAACTTGCAGTTATTATTCTTTCTTTTTATCTATTTTCAATTTTTAGAGTATTTGAATTCGATATTAGCTATTACGCAGAAATGAAATTAAAACTGAGCGTATAAATCTTATCCTTTATTTCGAATTATTACAGCTTATTAACCTGTTTAGCTACTACTTTCTTCGAAGACTAAATACATCAAATTGAATTAAAATCCCATTTGAATCACTTTTGTTTATATTCATATCATTACCTGAGTTAATACTTAAAAGCGTTAATTGGTCTTATGTATCTATACAACTTAATCATGTGATATTCACAGGATATACTGTTTTTTGAAGTTATTCTATACCAGATAAATCACTTGTCTAAGATCTTCGGCTAAAGTTACGTTGCAGATTGTTAGGGTGTGGTGAAAGTTGGATATTTTTAATGGATAAGTATATCGTCTTCCTCTTCACCGTTAGGTAAATGATACCACAAATAGTCCACCGACAAATAGCTTACTTTCCGAACTCACAGAATCAACAATGTGGCTTAAATATAAGGAGGTAACACTGCATAATTGAAAACACTAACTATAATTCTGTATTCAGAAAACGTCAAGAAATGTCTGTGATCATATTTGTAGGTTCGTACAAACAACAGTCGTTTTGTTTCTTTCTAAGCTTCACTTCGGCGAAAAATCCTATCACAATCTAAGTTGGAATCACAGATCATCTACAGTTCTGATCGCATTCAACTTCATTCTCTTAGCTGTTAATTTGGGTTCGTTCCATAAATTTTATGTGTCTATTGTCAGTTTCTTGCTTTTCGCTTCATATATTTTTATACTTTCAGCTAATGGTTACTGTTGAAGGGTAAAAGTGACTTCTTTAATAATCATGCTTCAAACAAAGTGTCATATCGAATGATTAATTTTACAGACAGACCAGCTATTACGCTTACACTGGTAGTTCGGACCCAACGAAAAATCCCTATATAGTCAAATAGAACTTTTATCTCAGTATATCTCACGTAGCGCATGAGAATTTCAGACCTATCTGAAAGCGATTTTACTTCACGAGATTTCTCCTTTTACATCTAATGGTTTCTAAACTAAATCATTGAATTTTGTTTTTAAGAGCAGATTAATCCATATTGTTTTAATGTACTAGGCACTATTAATAAGCTTGTCTTTCACAACCGTTAACATACTAGCGATAGACTATTCTTTCTATCCTGTGTTAAGTAAGTCTATATATATATATTATATATATATATATATATTACGAAATCGCACGTTATATCTAATTTCAACCCAATATCTATGCTAATTTTAGCTTATAAAGGAATATCCAAATTTAAATCTTTTCAATATCCATGAAAATCTTATTGAATGCTACCTAGCTGCCCAGCAATATGCTGATGCTCAGGCTTTCCTAGCTAAATACGATGGTAGGTTCTTTGAAAATAAGATAGTGATCATATATTTTAATTATTTAGTGGCTACTCAATAGATATTGCAGTATTTTGTTAACTGTATGGCACATAATGTTCATTTGGCTTAATTTTCCTAACCGATATTTCCACCGTTACTGTTACCTTGAAATGGGGATAGCTTTTCCTACCTCCAAAATAAATCGAACACTGGACAGAATTATACAAAGAATAATTCAAATGGTCTCTTGCCAAATCAACGTCGAGCACTTTCTGATATACTTTTTGGTCCGTGACTACTGACCCACACAACAAAGCGGAGATTCATAAAGAATTTCAACTGCTGGAACGTCACCAGTCTTAAATGACTAACTTTTAGCCTTTTTTGGGGATAACGGAGAACTTTTGGCTACGAGACTGACTAGCTCGTTGAAAAACTTTTGAGTAACAGATTGTCCTATCATTTTGGAATGAAAAATCTTCGTCCCTACATTTACAAAGAACTTAAATAATTTTATTATTATCATCTCGAAAGCTCTGTACACATATCTCTCAAACAGGACGGATGCATACGCCATCCTCTCTTCTTTGTTTCATCTTAACAATAAGTTCTATAGAGTACTACTTCTGATGCTTTTGCTAGTTCTTAATAGTTTCATCTCGTTATGCTAATGTTGGATAGCAACTTGAACCGATGCACATATGTGCTGGTTTCTGCGTTGCATTTGACTGTCTCCCTATACACAATACTTCTTTTCAGTTTTGGCATCGATGTCATTCCGTAAACAGCTCTAATGAAGGGAAGTGGTAATGTAAATTTGCTATTCTGACATACATCGTCTTGCTGTGCGACAACACAATCTGTCCAAATCACATTTAATCAGTTATCTATTGGTTTCCATAAGTAGGGTATGTAATTTACAGTTTCTGAATGTATAGTACTTCTACAAGACGAGTAGACGCTCTTTGAAGGTATAGGATCAAAGGAATGCAAAGGATGTAACAGCATTACTGGGATCGATTTTCAGCGGTCACCAGTGGGTCTCTAACTTTATTCTTCGACCTTGGCATGAACTCGAACCACGAAATCTATCTCCAAGCACGACTCAAATCAACAATCGTTAACATCATGGACTGATTCTGCGTCCTAGATTTTGAGGAAGTCTTATCTCTTGTAAAAGCTGCAGTGACATCTGTTAGCAACCTAACCTAAAAGACTAATCAAGGTTAGTGTAACTCGAAGGCCACTACCAAGTTATTGGTTATTTTCATCCTGCATCACCGTTTGTTGACTAAGATACTATCTGGATTCGAAGAGCTAGAAATTGTTCCGTAAGACTGGTCACCAATTTCAATTTCTCAAGTATTTGAAAAAGTATAATTTTTGAAAAAAAATACACCAAATTAAATGACCAGTGTTGTGATTGAAACATCAACTGTTATCATTATTCATACCTTTGACAGAGCTCGTGGTGATCAAACCCTAGGAAATTAGACTGGTTTAAGACATGGACATGTACATTTGGAAACAAAAATTCTTCATGGGGTTCAAGAGCATAAGCATACTTAAAAACTCAATAGCCATCGTATTTCTTGACCTCATTGATCGATAAATTTTATGTCATTTTCTGTTGTCGAAAGGTCTATTAAAAGGGATACATCAATCTTCTAGAGACGTTCTAATCAAACACGTTTATTTATATCTGATTTAATTTATTGAATATTTGGTTCTACAGTTATTCGTTTCTCCATAGCACTTTATGAGCAAAAGTATTATGAAACTAGACTAACTGGAGTAATTGGGAAATATGCTACGTTTTCACAGAGATGCATTTCCTAAAGTGGGTGCGATCAGACTAATAGGTGATATTAATCTATTAAGCCATTAGCCCTTTCTGTGGTCTGTGTTCGCAAGTCCAGGCGACATTAGCTCCTCTATGCAATCGTAATCAAATTCTATGGGTGTGAGCTAAAATCGATTTTAGGTGAAGTAGACCCATTCATTCTTAATCTTTCTTTAAATGGTGAATGTAACGTTATTTTACACAAATTCTTTCGCAGTTCAGTCCGTTTTTATTTGAAAAGTATATTCTCAATGTCCTGTTTATTGATGTTAACGTTTTGAATCCACTGCTCTTCCTGTTGTTAATTTTTTTGATAATACTTGCTTGAAGTATAAAACTTCAGACTAACATAGTTTTATTTCGCTCCATTTCTGTCCTTTTTCAGATATCAACTATCCGAAATCAGCTACTATATGTTACACTGCAGCTTTACTGAAAGCCAGACAAGTATCTGAAAAGTAAGTTTTTCTTTGTTATATTGCTTAGCTGAGCATTGTTTTCAATGTGGCTGTAACGTGGACTTGCTATGCGTTTGCTACTTATGAGACCAATAAAAGAGCGATCGAAACGGAGACAACAAGTTGCGTTTGAAGTGGCAAAATATTTTGTCGAAACTGAACTATGTGAATGGCCTGAAGCCGACCAGTCGGATCAGAGATAACAGCTAATAGGTTTCGTAGCAAAATTCAGTCATGGGGAAGAGAATAATAGTAACCGCTTCACCTTTCATATGTAATTGCTTTTACTCGACAACTTGTCATACTAGAATCTTATGTTATAAATTTTTATTTAGATTTTCTCCGGACTTAGCGTCACGTAGGGGTTTGAATGCAGCTGAACTGAGTGCTGTTGAAGCTATTCATCGGGCTGTTGAATTTAATCCACATGTACCAAAAGTGAGTTCACTGTTATATGGATCCTTTGTAATCTTAGTTTTAAACACTGTACTTCAAATAAATCGGTGGTCCAGTTTTCTAGGCATTCGACTTTTTAGTCAGATTCATATTCCGCCTCACCCACTTTAGTTCGAACACCCGGACAGTATTACTGACTCTTACAGTTATTATGATTCGAAATCCAAACGTGCGAGTAATCAGTTAGTCATATGCATTATTGACATGTATACATCAGTTCAAGTTGTCACATCCCCATTATTACAGGAAGAAGAAACTGTCAGGTCAGTTTTAGATGAGTTGGTAGCTTAATTCATATGGAGCTTATAGTTTGAAAAAACTAACAGCCGAACAAGTGCAAACTGCTGTTAATATTTGTTCGCTCTCTGTTTACAAAGGTTTGTACATTATACTTGTTATGTGCACAATATCGTCACATACTGTTAGAGCACTGAAAGAACTTGTCAATTAAGTTCAGTATTTTGTTGACACTCCCACAAATGTGTCGAGTACTTACTTAACCGAACTATTTACATTCTGTATCATGATGCAGCCGGTTAGAAGCATTGTACGATATTTAGTACCAGTCTTAAATTTGTCTAATTCCATTTTAGCTGTGAAGCAAATGCTAGAAGTGTAGCTAACGGGTGACTTATGTTTCTTTTCGTGTGAGTTACTTTGATCAGAGAATCACCTGTGTAAACTGAATTCCTGTTAAGAAAAAACACATTACATATCAGTTGCGTTTTCAGTATTCATCCAATTGTAATTTTCTTAGCTAATGGTTTACAGAACTTCATCTTACTGTTTTCTGCTATAGTCAAATTACTTGAATAAAATATTTCCCATTCGTAATAATGTATATCGAACATATTAATCCAGTCCGAACTATTCATTATGCTCGGCTACAGAAACCCTTGTATTAGTTTTTAATTTTCCTCCGCGTAATTGGGAACATCGCAAATAAACTATAACCAAATAATTAAAAATGTGTCGTTTAAAATCTCCTTTAGAACACTCGTTAGATTTCACTGGGCTTCCAAGCATACGTCCTTACACTGGTTAACTTTTAACCAAATACATTGAATGAAAGATAATCGCTAGTACCTACAAACCTTCTACAGAATTGTAGTGCAGTCTATTCAGTTACTCATTAATGATGAAAGTCCAGAACCGGTTACTATTTCTAAAATTTATCCACTTCAGTATCTCACAAAGATTACTTAATTATTTGATTTTTGTCATGTACGTTTTTAAGCCACCTCTCATCCTATTTGAAGTAAGTTGAGCGAACACGGTGAGGTGATTAGATAAATTTCAATAGCTTTTTTCGTATTTTAAATATTCTTAGGGTAAACTGTTATCGGGAATTTATTACTGTAATAGTGCTTTGACTAAATTAAATGACTGTCTTAATAATTAAACTCATGACTTGAATGTAATATCCATTAAGTGGTAGTAATTCCGTGATGTATTTTTACACACCCTTTAATTAATCTGGTCTATTCAGACGGAAGAATTCGCAACTTAACTGAACACAAACCTCCTGCGATCCTAATTACCGTTTTAGCATTTACTCTTATTATATATCTCTTAGTAAAAACAACAAAGATATCTCTTGATATTGATGATAGTCAAGAAACGAAAAGACTTATGAAAGAATAAATCAATCAGTCATGATTCAAAGCATTCTTTCTACTGACCAATTCGTTTTCTACCAATCGAAATACCATATTACAAATCTATACTACTTTTAAACAAAAACATCACATATTTACTGGATTTGTTTCATTTAAATTCTCTTTCAGTACCTTCTTGAAATGAAACCTCTAATATTGCCTACAGAGCACATTTTAAAACGTGGCGATTCTGAAGCCATAGCATATGCATTTTTTCATTTAGCTCATTGGAAAGCTGTAGAAGGTGCAATTAATTTATTATATTGTACATGGGAGGGAACTTTTCGACTCATTCCATATCCTCTAGAAAAAGGAAACCTCTTTTATCCTTATCCCCATTCAACTACAGCGACCGATCGAGAACTTTTACCAAGTATGAATACTTTGTTTTTGTTTTGTCATTCTAGTCTCATGTGTGGCGCATATACATATCTGGTGCCCTCTTTTATCAATATTTGTGTTCAAATAAAATTTAAAAAATGAAATTCTAGTCTCATAAATGATGTCAAAATATATTTGGTGAACTACATCATTTACGTGGTTGAATTCAATTAACTGTTTTATAGATCACTTGTTGAATCCTCTCTTGGAAAACACGATATTGTTTGATATGTTTTATTTCAACCAGCTAGCATTATAATCTTAAACGTTTGTGAGAAGAATCATTTATGAACCCACCTTTAATCGGAAATTAAGATCTAATGTTGCTATTTCTTTCGCAGTAAAGGCAGATATTATCAAATACAGAACAATTAGAAATAGGTTAAGCAATACGTAAAAAATAGTTATAATTCGTAGGAGAATTGGCTTATTGGATTAAGTCTGTAAATCATGTTCTTAGTTTGATTAATGATATTATGCTCTACTTTTTAAACTTCAAATGAAATTTACGGGCTGGAAATTGAAAAACTCTTTTGTCAATGATTATGGAGATACACTTCGGTTTATTATAAAGTTGACCTTACTCACAGCTCAAAATCGCATTATAAATTACAGGCGTGAAAAAATCCACAATTTTTACTAAAAACAACTAATATACCTTCATAGATAAAGATATCATTTCCTCCTATAAAGACGAGATGCTGAGAGTTCTGGCTTTAAACTAGTGCTACCATCACTAACGTGCTAAAATGTATCCAGGCTTTTAGGTGTAAGATGTTCATGTCTAAGTGCTTCGACCAATAAAGTTGACATAAGAATTTTTCGGCCCCCAAATGCTCTGGTATGGCCGAGAGCGGGATGGGTTCGCCCTCCCTCTCGAAATACTGTCACACGGCCACGCGTATACAGCATCTACCAGAGAAGTCCTACTCACTGCCTTCTCGTGTCGGGGGTGTGGTTAACAAAACTGAGAGGACGAAAAGCGAATGTCCGACCCTTTAACCGGATCCCAAACCAATGGTGCACATGGGCTCCAGTATCCTGCGGGAACAAATGGCGTACGAACCAATTCCTTGGTCCCCGGCTACCATGGGACTGCATTTCCTCACGATGCTCCACTGCCTTGTGGGTTAGACCTTTAGGTCAAAGGCTCGGGGAGTGGCCCCCTACGAAAACCACCTGCTTCGGTTTGGGCGCCCGGACAGTATCTCAGCCCTCACACAAAAACATGATAAACAATCTACTTTTGAAAAACATTCTTCTCGCTCCAAATAACAATCAAGTGACTCGCATTATTATTACTATTATTATTATTATTTACTACGTCATTATTCACCCTCTTTTATTCCCATCGTTTATACTTATTTTTTCGACTTATACAGCAGGTCGACTTTGGTGAAAATTCGACTGTATCTAAACGTTCTCGAGCCATTGTCTGGTTGAAAATTGTATGTTACCACTGAATATGAGTACTGAAGCAGTTTTTCTGAAACCACATGCACCATTCAAACTGGCTGCCTTCAACGTTCGCACACTTATGCACGTTGGACAACAGATAGAACTGGCTATGTCTTTGCAAAGTCTTAATGTCGATGTTTGCTGTCTATCCGAGACCCGTATTCAAAACTCTGGTGAAGTACTACAAATTCGCTCTCCATCTGTCGCTTCGAAAAGCTTGTTTTACGTGCGTTTATCCGGGGACCCTGTGGCATCTTCGTCTGGTCTTGCTGGCGTTGGTGTCGCACTAAGTGCTAGAGCTGAGGCAGCACTAATCGATTGGATCCTCATTAACAGTCGGTTATGTGCTGTTAGATTAGAAAGTCCCATCAAAGTGAGAAGAAATCGGCGTGAGAAACGATGTATTTTCGTCATCTCCGCTTATGCCCCGACAGATTGCAGTCCGGATGCAATCAAGGATGAGTTTTACCACCAGTTATCTGTTCTTCTCCAGAAAGTGCATTCGACAGATATTGTAGTACTAGCCGGAGACTTGAATGCTCAGGTCGGGCGTATAGGCACAGAAGAGGATTGTTTAGGTGGTCGATGGGGACTTGTTGGTCGCAGGACAGATAACGGGGACCGTCTACTGCAACTGTGCACAGACCACAACCTGTTCCTGGCTAGCACTAACTTTCGGCACAGTCATCGCCGATGTGCCACCTGGCGTCCTCCCTCTGCATCCCAAGCCTGGACTCAGATTGATCACATCGCGATCAGCTACCGCTGGCGTGGTTGTGTACAAGAATGCAGCTCCTTTTGGAGTACCTATCTGGACTCTGACCATGCCTTGGTCTGCGCCAATCTTACCTTACTTTTCAGTGGACAATGAAGTGACCGCCACCAACGGATTGATGTTAGCAAACTGGTTGCAACTTCTGTTGCTAGTAAGTATCGAACCGAGCTAGTTTCTAGGCTAGCTACCATTCCACCGAAAAGTATAGATGAGCATTGGTTGCAATTGCATGACCCCATCAAAATGGCGGGTACAGTCAGTTGTGGGTTCGCGAAACGTCCCGCTTATAAGCACTGGGTTTCTTCAGGTTCCTTACAACTCATTGAAGCCCGTCGGTCTACTCCGAGTGACCGTGAGTTTGACCACAAACGAAGGATGTTACGTAAGGAAATCGGGCAAAGCTTGCGTAAGGACCGAGAGGCCTGGTGGTCGGAGCGTGCTAATGAGCTGGAAGCAGCAGCTGCATCTGGTAACTACAGGAAGCTCTTCCAACTCATCCGAGCCACTGGCAGCAAGAAGTCTGGTGTGGGCGAAACAATCTGCGAGGATGACGGGATGCCAATCACTAACATCAATAGACATCTTGCACGATGGGCAGAATTTTTCGAAGGGCAGTTCAACTGGCCTGCTGCTCCGGCAACATCGGTCAGACTGTCCTGCCCTCCATGACCGGTGACGACTGACCAGCCAAATGAGGCGGAAGTCCCTATCTTTAGAAAGGGTTCACGTTGTCTCTGTAACAACTATCGGGGGATAAGTCTACTTCCGATCGCGTCCAAGCTATTGGCTTCCGTCATACTTCGTAGGTTGTTTAAAACCCGAGAAAGATTGACTCGCGAGGAGCAGGCTGGGTTTCGTTCTGGTCGAGGATGTATTGATCATATCTTCACCCTCCGCCAAATGTTAGAACACCGCCATACTTATCAAAGGCCAACAATCGTAGTGTTTCTTGACATCAGGGTTGCCTTCGATTCGTTGGATAGGACTGTTCTCTGGGATTGTCTATTGAAGATGGGTGTTCCTGAGAAGTTTATTAACATCCTAAAAGCCCTATATACAAACACCTCAGGCAGAGTGAGGACATAGAACCACCTCTCTCCATTGTTCCATTCAAGCATTGGGGTTAGGCAGGGTTACCGAATCTCACCATTCCTCTTCAACTTTGACATCGATGATATTCTAGAAACAGCTCTGATGGATGTAAGTAATGGTGGTGTTGATCTGTTGCCTGGAGAAAGACTTCTCGATCTTGAGTATGCGGATGATATTGTCTTATTGTGCGAGAATGTCCAAGGCATGCGATCCGCACTTAATCAGTTGGAAATCAGTGTCCGTAGGTATGGTATGTGCATTGCACCTTCGAAGTGTAAAGTACTTCTAAAAGACTGGCAGGATTCTAATCCTGCACTCACCCTGGATGGTGAGGAGATAGAAGTAGTCGAGAAGTTCGTGTATCTGGATAGCTACATAAGTGCTGGTGGTGGTGTGAGTGATGAGATCAATGCACGTATGGTGAAAGCCAGAGCGACTTATGCCAATCTGGGCCACCTTTGGCGCCTTCGTGATGTTAGTCTGTCTGTAAAAGGCCGGATCTACAACGCGTCGGTGAGAGCAGTTTTGCTCTATGCTTGTGAAACCTGGCCTCTCCGAGTTGAGGACGTTAGACGACTCTCTGTGTTCGATCATCGCTGTCTCCGAAGAATTTCTGACATCCAGTGGCAACACCATGTCAGTAATGCAGAGGTTCGGCATCGTGTGTTAGGGCACAGAGATGATAATGCAATCGATGTCACCATCTTGAAACACCGACTTCGGTGGCTTGGACATGTTCTACGAATGTCGTCCCAGAGAATTCCACGTCGTGCATTATTTGCCGACTCTGGGACTGGTTGGAAAAAGCGGAGAGGTGGTCAGTGTATGACATGGTGTCGTGGTATGAAAGAAAGCAGCAAAGGGCTGGCTTGTGTTGGTCCTTCAGGACACCCTCTGAACATAATGAAGAGCGGAGTCAGCTTAAGAACAGGCTGATATGAAGCCTACGCAATGACCGTGAACAATAGTAGGTGGCGAAGGCAAGAGAGATGGAAAAGGCAGTGGCAATAGATAATAGCAGACAATTGTTCAGACTCGTTAAGGAAACCGGAATTAGGAACCCGACCGTTAGCGAAACAATCTCAGAGAAAAATAGACATATCATACGTTCTCAATCCAGGAGACTGGGTTGATGGGCAGAACACTTTAGGGATCAGTCCAACTGGCCTTCAGCCACACTTCGGTTTCCTTCGATCTCCAGTCAACCTGAATGGCAAGTTAATTTAGGTCCTCCGTCCCTTTACGAAGTTGAAAAAGCCATAGGAAATCTGAAGCGAGGGAGAGCAGCAGGCCCTGACAGGTTTACTCCTGAGATTTCTAAGGATGATGGTCCAGTATTAGCAATGAGATTAACCGAGGTCTTAGGTAGAATTTGGGAACTGGACGTAATCCCATCTGACTGGTCTCAATCACTGATTGTGCCAGTCTATAAGAAGGGACAAAATCCTCTTTTGACAATCACAGAGTGTCTAAAATATTAGCTTCAATAATACTTCGACGCCTAACCAAAGCTCGTGAAGAGCAGACTAGAGTAAACCAGGCTGGTTTCCGACCAGGACGTGGTTGTATAGACCAGATGTTCACATTATCGTAGTATTTCTCGGCCTTAAGACGGCATTCAACTCTGTTGGTCGTGAGGTTCTATGGCAGTGTTTGTCACTGAATGGAGTACCAAAGAAGTACATTAACCTTATAAAGGCTCTCTACTCGAACACAACTGGTAGAGTGAGAGCTTATGGCGAACTGTCATCAGAATTGATTACCTCAAGTGGTGTTCGTCAGGGCTGTCCACTCTCTCCATTCTTGTTTAACTTTGTCGTTGACGTACTTCTAGAGATAACACTTTCCTCGTCTAGATTTCCAGGGGTTGAACTTCTACCGGGAGGTTCACTTGTTGACTTAAAATATGCCGATGACATAGTTCTATTTGGTGAAGACTCTGACAAAATGCAGAGTCTTCTGACTACTCTAAGCAACAATGCAAACATGTTCGGGATGCGATTCTCCCCTTCGAAATGTAAAGTGTTGCTTCAGGTTTGGGTTGCATTGACACCCGAACTAATGATAGGGAGTGAAGTAGTTGAGCGTGCCGACCGCTTCACTTGGGAGTCGCATCAGCCCTTGTAGTATGGTGTGTCACAAATACAGAAGGCTCTACTAGCTTTTGACATTGATGGCATAGGCGAGATATCCGTCTATCAACCAAAGGACGGGTTTACTGCGCAGCAGTTCTTTCCGTCCTACTTTATGGCAGTGAAACATGGCCGGTAAGAGTAAATGATATTCGTGGATTACTAGTATTCGATCATAGATGTCTTCGAAACATTGCTCGTATATCCTGGGACCACCGAGTAAGTTATGCAGTTGTTAGGAAACGGGTACTAGGTAAGGATGGCAAATCTATTGATGAAGTAGTGAAACTTAATCAGTTGAGATGGCTAGGACACGTGTTAATTATGTTCAACGACCGACTGCCTTGACATGCGATGTTTTTTCGTTACTTCCAAAAACTTGGTTGTATGAAAGTGAATGGAACTTACACAACAGATGAAGATAAATATTTTTGACTAAAAACGTAGCTTCCTATTTTCAATTACAAGTATGAACGAGATGAAATCTCTCGTGCTTGGTAAAATAAAACGATCACGAATTCTGGAATTAGAGCTGAGTTCTAGTTGGTGGATTGTCATATTTGACATGAACTAAATGCAACCATATTACAGCAGAAATTATCATACTAATAATAAAAACAGATATTTCAATGGAGAAATTAATCTAGATGACTACTTTTGAGAAAATTATAGTCATCTTTATATGAATAGATATGATAAACAAGTTCAATGTTAAAATGCGTCAAGTAAATTCTAATTATAAGCTTGATAGCATTAAATTTGAGTTTATGTCTGAAAGTTTATGGAAAATATTACCGTTAAAATTACAAGTAAGGCGCCCGTATTATTTTGCAACAACCAATGTGAAGCTCTAGATTTATTACCATGTGTAATACTTTATTTTATATAAAATGTCACGAGTCTTTTTGTACATACCCATAACTTTAAAAAAAAATACATATGTTTCATAACGAATTTCCTTTGTGCTATCTTTTTATATTTAGGTTTTCATACACTATCTGTGTATCCGAAAAAAGATGTGCCATTTTTTATTCTATTTATTGCGGCTCTATGCTCTTTAACAGCTATACTTACATGTTTAACTCATGTCTACCCTGAACAAATGGGATCACTTTCTAGTAAGGTGAGTTTAAACGGGACTATAAGTTTGGTATAATTGCCACTACTATTTGAAGTTTCAATATCTACTCGAAAAACAACAGAAAACTGTCATTTACATATCTTGTATTTCTACACTACTTAAATGATAAAGTCAATCAACTGCTGTATTACACAGCATTGGATACGACTGATCACGTAATGGATGCGATTATTTACCTCATATCTAAAATATTAGTTTGTTAAGTTGCACTTTTATTTATTTTATGGTATTATTTACGTACTAATGATTATTAGATTATGCGGGCTTACAGTAAAGTGAAGTATTTAGCTTGACGTTTCATTGATTGACACTACCGTTTAGATTCTGAAACCAACTAATTTTCCTTCTTTCACAGACTCTCAACTGGTTTTTCAGTCCAATCAATTATCTATTGGAAAGACTAGAAGGATTGCTACTTTTGCTAGCTCCAACGTCTGCTCGAAAGCTTTTAACTTAACCAACTTAATATTAATTCACATTTTAAAGCATTTTTGTCCTCCAGATGATAATTGTTTCAGTCTTAATGTCATTATGTTGCTTTTTCGTTGTTTATTTCTATTGCAATACCGTTGTTTTGTTCGGTACTTACTTTTCTGATATTTCACTAATATCATAATTAGCTTTAAACAATTTTTATTTGTGTTTTGTCCCCAAAAGTGTAGTCCGCAATTTACAATGAAAAAAATAACTTGCATTTTTTAAAATCAGATTTGTATTTAGTTATTTGTCTACGAAACAAAGAGTGGTTACGTTTTACTATCGAAATGTTTATTAGTTTGATTCCATTCTTCTTCAGTGAATCCAAGCAAGGAGATTTCATCAGGATCCATTAAATTGTTCTCTGCTCGACAACGCAAATAACCGGCCGCTTCAGATCTACATAAAGAATTATTCCAATTATTCTTTTTCATACATTGAGTCCATTCCAACATAGCAACTTTACATACGCCATGATGATCTAACGGAAAGCTTCCTCTTAATGGAGGAAGAACTTGAGATCTATTTGGAATGTAACCTGTGGAACTGGCCGACACTGTAAGAAATATCCCCATCCCTAAAAATACAAGACTGAAGTACACAGCGATTTGAAATAAACAGAGGAAATTTAATGGCATATATGAATAATAAACAGATAATAGAAGGATAATCTGATTCTGCTTGGAGTTTAGAAGCTCATGACTCATGACAAAACCACTTATAAAGAGTTCATGCAGTATAAATCATGAAAAAGTGCCATCAAACAAAAAGTCTACCCGTTTACCTACCCTTGCTTATAAATAGTTATTATTACTTTTTCGAGCTACTACCATGTCTAACAATCATGGAACGTCTAATCAAGTGCGTAACTTTCGCAACAAGTTCAAGCGCACTTTTACGTAAGCTCATTTGACGAACGACTGTTCAGAAACATAACACTGCAACTTAGTGAGAAACTGAATTTGACTTCACCCCGAATGCTCTTTTAGAAAGATGGGTTAAAGTTGAAAATTTTCGTATCATGGTAACTGTTATTATGGCCAGATGCTTGCCACTAGATAAGTAAATGATTTTTCAGAATTTTAAGTTTGATGCTCGACACTTGTGCACACCTTAGAAACGTACTGGTTTACAGGAAAGAAGTCTATTAAACCATTTCACGACATTCGTATGCTCGGTTATTTTATGGGTATATGTTATGGCTCAAAGTGACAGCCGATTATATGACAGTGACTTATCGATCGGATCAAGGTTTCAGAGACTCGATAGTCTATTCTGGTCCGTTGTCCCCAACTCTGCTAACTCGATCAAGAAGTCTGGGTAAGGTGTAGAAAGTGTATTCTACAGACAAACAGCAGATAACCAGTCAGGCAGACAGATCAGATCAAGCATACAAGTCAAGCGTATTTATACAATTATTTACAATCGATATTGTCATAGGAAGATTTTTGAACATTAATCAACAATTGACTGCTATTTGAACATTTAATCGATAGTTCATCAATTGACCTATTTGTACATTTAATCGATAAGTAAATTACAAAATTTGAGTTTTGGGGATCTATCGTCCCCAACACTCCTCCCCTTTTCAGAAGATCCGGAGTTGATATCCGGATTTTAAGTTTTCCAGGTCCATCCTCCCCCACGAAACAGTGTTGGATCCTCATATGCCCACGTTATAATTAAATTGAATTTATTTAAGACATATTTATCGCACTGAACAGAGAATTGACTGAAAGTGACTAAGTCTTGAGGCTGAACGACACTTGATATGAGGTGTTCGAAGTTTAATTCTTCTGAATTATTGTGACCAAATTTATTTGGAATCTTATTTGTAGATAATCGATCATCAAGGAAATTAGCATCTATCAAAATTGTATTAAGTTTTTGATCATCATTTGATGCATCTGACATATTTTCTGGTAAAAGAGAATCTTGATAATAAGATTTGTCAAAAACATCTGTCGCAGACTGATGAGAACCATTTGAAGCAGTTGTATTCAGTGCACTGCTCGATTTGTTTTCTGTTTCATGGGTGGTTATCGCGACAATTCTATGAGGATTTACCAGGGAGTGTGTTTGTGAGCTGGATAAGTCACCGTCTGCACATGCTGTTTTGGAGATAATGGAGTTTGAGTCCATTACCGGGCATGTTTCTGGAATGGAGAGGACTGGACCACTGGGCGAATCTTGAGTGACTGTTGTACCGATGGAAATACGGTTTATCGGGGATTCATTGGGGCTGCAAGCATTTTCCAGCTCTGTGTGCAGTTGAGAGATCAATCCATCCACTTCCGTTGCATCTCCAAAGCATGAGTGATTTAACAGCTGCGTGCGTAATTTGACTAAAAACTCCAACTGTCTTTCAAATAGCAGCTGTACTCGATCGGAAGGGAGAGTCATTTTTTTATTCAGCACCGGTAATGAAAATTACTGTTTGATTAATGACCAATGTTGCTGAAGGACACTGATGACAAATCTGGATGCTGAAGGCTGACTTTGGATTGTTCTTTTTTTTACCCCGTCGCCAATTGTTATGGCTCAAAGAGACAGCCCGATTGTAAGACAGTGACTTATCGATCGGATCAAGGTTTCAGAGACTCGATAGTCTATTCTGGTCCGTTGTCCCCAACTCTGCTAACTCGATCAAGAAGTCTGGGTAAGGTGTAGAAAGTGTATTCTACAGACAAACAGCAGATAACCAGTCAGGCAGACAGATCAGATCAAGCATACAAGTCAAGCGTATTTATACAATTATTTACAATCGATATTGTCATAGGAAGATTTTTGAACATTAATCAACAATTGACTGCTATTTGAACATTTAACCGCCTAAGGCTCAAATTTCCCTTTATTAGTCCCCGAACCGCAAACGAGCAAAGATGATTTCAAATAAGGCTATACATTCGTATAAATTTAAACTGTACATTTATGCAGGGTACGAATAGAAAAACTGCGACGGGATAAATTCCAGGTATATCCAAATGAAAGTAGGTGATTGCATATGATTCATCTTTATGCACAACTAAAATAATTGCCAATGAAAATTAATGGAAGTCAATATCCGAAACCTAAGGAAGTACGGTCAGTCGTTCTTGACCAACATACATCGAGGCACAAAAGTGCGTCAGTCCAGGTTGCCGTGCCACATTACTATGACGTGATGTTATTGCTATAAATAGCAAGAGAGTTAAAATAATAATTCCGCGAAGTTAAATATTTCAAAATAAGGATGGGTCTGAAAAATTATGGAACAATTTTGAAGATCAACATTGAGAGAAAAGTAAGGATTAAGTGCACCTATGTGATTATGATCGATTCTAACCCAAATCACTCGGAGTCTCTAATTTACAAATGCGCAGACACGAACCAGGTAGTCCTCACCAACTCCTGGAGCAATCATTTCATAAATTGTTGACTTCATAGTCTGATACCATGTTTTGGTTTAGCAACCTCTCCGAAGTTTACTTAAACATATTTCCACCTCAACCAGCATCGTGCTTCAGAGAAGGCGGTGGCTAGGTATCCGAAGCATATGTTCTACGCACAGCAGTCGATAAAGACTGGTAGCTCTATTAACCCTTTGATATATTGCTAAGCAGCTTACACCATAACCACAATGCACATTTAGTTGCTCCAAAGCCAAACATCAAATCAGCGGTATATTCATCCCTTCATTGGTGAACGGACACTTCGCGTACCCTAGAAGCAGCCAAAGCCGAGAAAGATCGAGAGAGCTTTTTGAAGCAATGTGGTAATTCCCCTGATCAACTATAGACCAATGCAATATAAAGGACTAAGCTAACAGAACTTACAGAAATGTCAAGTTGAAAAATCACTGGAAGAAATCAGAACAATCAACCTCACAACATTACCTAATAAAGAAAAGAAATTTTGGTATGAAAATGAGTTTATTGGTTATGATAATAAATTATGTACAGTTTTCAATTGTGCATGATAGGTACCACGCGTGCACTCGGTTCACCGACATCTCTTACTAGCAACGCAATCTGGAAAAATTAGAAATTTTCCAGTAATAAAATAACATTTAGAAAATACATGGATATTTAATACTCTGACAGTTAAAATGAACCTGATCGAATAAAGAAATTATGTCGTTTTCTGTGGTTATCAATGGATAAAATTCGCCTTCAATTCAAATCAGAGAAGGGTTTTGTCGATATTATAGCAATTTAGTAGTTGAATTTATGAGTCAATCGAAGCTAGACCACCATTGAAATCCTGGAAGCACTGGACGGCCGTTGCGTTCTAGTATGAGACTCCTCAGCAGTGCGCATTCACGACCCCGCCTCGCGAGATTCGAACCCAGGGTATATCGGTCTCGCGCGCGCACACTTAACCTCTAGACTACTGTGCCGGCATCCAATGGTGTTAATGTCTAGGTTCAAACAATCCACGAAATTGCGCCACCGCCCATCATTGTCTTCAGTGAGTTACTATCTCACAACAGACCCGGTTGAACTCCACCGGCTCAGTGGTCTAAAGGTAATGTGTTCGCGCACAAGACCGATGGGTCCTAGTTTCGAATCTCGCGAGGTGGAGTCGTGGATGCGCACTGCTGAGGAGTCTCATACTAGGATAGAACGGCCGTCCAGTGCTTCTAGATTTTCTATTCTCACCCGTGTTCTCGTTCACACACATTGATCAGTCCAATTTTTACCTAGTAAGGACTAGTGTATAAATAGAGAATATTGACGTGTAAATTCTATAGACTAAAATGGTTTTACTACTTTATCTTATGTTATTTAGGCTTATTAACATTTATATTTATCAATCGAGTGAAGCTATGTGTTCATGAAATAATACACAGTGGAGACCGTAGCAATTAAAAAGGTAAACTGAATCCCCTGACTTTAGTCTCAGCTTTTGGCATTTATGAGCGTAGCATTTGTGGAAGCACAAAAACCCGATTTAGTGACAGAAAATACCTGTCATATGTTTATGATACATATAATGAGACTTATAAAATAATAATATAAATGGAAGAATTGAATTTCGATATCAAAAATAACTTAGATTACAACAGCAATACAGAAAGAAATTCAATTCACGATAAACAGTACGATATTTACAAAGCGACTGAAATTACTCACTGTGTTTTGAAGATTCGCTTAAAATTGAACATGGACTGTTGGCCACCCTGTAATAGATAAAATAACATCGATTTCTGAATAAATATAGATTTAGCATTGACTTTTTGAATAGGTAGTTTACATTATCTTGATCATACTAGTTAGTACTTAAATGTGTTTTTATCACTGGAAAACTACTGAAATACAAGTAGGAGGTCGTTCTTCGCATTAAAATGGATTTACATCTCAGTAATCAAAGTCATCTAAATAGCGTTAATCTCATACATAGCGAATGGTCGAATCATTTTGAATGTGTTGGTTGTATGACTGATGTGACGTTACAGTAAATCAGTAATATGTTTTTGAAATGACTCCTGGACAGTACGATGTGAAGTAATAGGTAATATTACTTCCTATTTTAAACAAAGACAAAGTTTTAATTTCAGAAAATATAAGGACTTGACAATATCTTCATGAGAAAACAATGATAAAAACCGAGTATATATACTTCACATTATTACCACAGATTTGAAACGTACCTAGAACTGCGTGAGATCACGTTCATACCTAAGAATTAGTAAGGGGAAAAGGCTTTTAAATATTATATTGAAGTATAGATAGGTCAATTTAATTAACTGACATTAAATTCATTACATGACGCCGCAAACTGTTAGAGTTAAACTAGTGCCTTTGAACATACTTGCACTTATAATATCAGAACAACTGGGTAAAAATAAGATCTTTAAAAATAACTTCCACAATATCCACTGCTAGGTTGTATTTGAGCAACTATTGTACCCATTCTTGTTCACCAAGGTGATATAATATGAGGTGGCCAAACAGCAATTCTAAAACTAACCAAAAAGTGTCTTCACTTTCTTGAAGCTTTCCAAACTGTAAATAAATAATTAACCGAAAAACTGCTTGGCACAGTAGGTCGATAAAAATAAAAGTAACCGCTGTTAGCCCAAAAAATAAGGTTAATTTACATTAAGAATATATTATCTACAGGTCTTGACTACATATTATTCAAAATGTTCTTTTTAGAGTAGCCCGTTTATTACTATTCAACCTGATGGGTATAGATTACTTTAGAATATTTTACACCAAGAAAAAGTTACAAGTTCCTGTTTACTTTTCTCTCCACTAGATACATCCCAAATGAAAAGGGTGGTACTTTCAACGCGGACTCGTTTTCATATGTATTATGTCACGGTTTATTGCTGGAGGAGGAAGCATACATTTAGCGATGACAGCTAGAGGTTTATGAGCGCAACTGTTAGCCTAAAAAAGATTATTAAAGGCTGGGACCAAAATAAGAAAAAGAATAATTCTGATGAACGAGGATGCGAATGGTATTTAGCTCGCCTAGGACAAACCATCGAGGTGAAGTGAGAGTATGTGGCCAAAAAAGTCTTGAGCGACTTCTACCCCAAATAATAATAAGTGAAGACGCTTTTTCAACAGTTTTGACCGGGACTGAAGGAATACTGAATAATCGGCCGCTGGTAGAACGAACTGTGGTGCCTCAGAGATCTTCATCCAAAATATACTGTTGTTGATTCACAAAGGGCTGTCGTTTGAAGCTCTGTTGATAATATTCTGGAACAGATAGCTTAAAAATATCTACTAACACTCCAAACAAGATATAAGTGACTGGACACAGAAAAATTTGCAGTCAACAATGTCCGGGCACCTAGGAGTCTGTGGACAAGAATCACTGACATTAGTGTTTCGAATATTACAGATAACAGATAACAGATAACAGCAGACAATTGTTCAGACTCGTTAAGGAAACCGGTATTAGGAACCCGACCGTTAGCGAAACAATCTCAGAGAGAAATGGACATATTATACATTCTCAATACAGGAGATTGGATCGATGGGCAGAACACTTTAGGGATCAGTCCAACTGGCCTTCAGCCACACTTCGGTTTCCTTCGATCTCCCTTTACGAAGTTGAAAAAGCCATAGGAAATCTGAAGCGAGGGAGAGCAGCAGGCCCTGACAGGTTTACTCCTGAGATTTTTAAGGATGGTGGTCCAGTATTAGCAATGAGATTAACCGAGGTCTTAGGTAGAATTTGGGAACTGGACGTAATCCCATCTGACTGGTCTCAATCACTGATCGCTACAGTCTACTCGAACATAACTGTTCGAGTGAGAGCTTATGGCGAACTGTCATCAGGATTGATTACCTCAAGTGGTGTTCGTCAGGGCTGTCCACTCTCTCCATTCTTGTTTAACTTTGTCGTTGACGTACTTCTAGAGATAACACTTTCCTCGTCTAGATTTCCAGGGGTTGAACTTCTACCGGGAGGTTCACTTGTTGACTTAAAATATGCCGATGACATAGTTCTATTTGGTGAAGACTCTGACAAAATGCAGAGTCTTCTGACTACTCTAAGCAACAATGCAAACATGTTCGGGATGCGATTCTCCCCTTCGAAATGTAAAGTGTTGCTTCAGGTTTGGGTTGCATTGACACCCGAACTAATGATAGGGAGTGAAGTAGTTGAGCGTGCCGACCGCTTCACTTGGGAGTCGCATCAGCCCTTGTAGTATGGTGTGTCACAAATACAGAAGGCTCTACTAGCTTTTGACATTGATGGCATAGGCGAGATATCCGTCTATCAACCAAAGGACGGGTTTACTGCGCAGCAGTTCTTTCCGTCCTACTTTATGGCAGTGAAACATGGCCGGTAAGAGTAAATGATATTCGTGGATTACTAGTATTCGATCATAGATGTCTTCGAAACATTGCTCGTATATCCTGGGACCACCGAGTAAGTTATGCAGTTGTTAGGAAACGGGTACTAGGTAAGGATGGCAAATCTATTGATGAAGTAGTGAAACTTAATCAGTTGAGATGGCTAGGACACGTGTTAATTATGTTCAACGACCGACTGCCTCGACTTGCGAAGTTTTAAGGTGTAGGAGTAGGTTGGAAGATAGCTAGGGGCGGCCAGACCAAAACATGGCACAAATCGATGAATTCACTGACAAGCGGACCGAGCCATGTTGGTAGGTGTAAACTGCCTGGTTGGGATCCGCGAGATGATAGCAACCGATGGTTAGAGACCCTGAATGACATGGCGCAAAATTGTTTCCAATGGTGCAGCTGTATCCACTCTGTGATATCGCAGATTATAATCTTCTGGATTCTTCATGGCCTTTTTTTCTCTTTCCAAATTTATAACACTGTATTATACTCTTTGAATAACATCTTCAAACCCTAATGTTTCCGATTACTGTTTATACTTTTACTACCTCTACCACAACGGGATTTGAATCAGAATTGTATGTGTGTGCTAAAGTGGTATGGCAACTCGAACTGATGTACGTACGTATGAATTTCTATGTTGTTACTGAGTGGTTTTCGTTTTTTTAGAGAGTTAGTTTCCTATGAGATGGGATAGCTAACCTGACCGACTAACTGAATTTACTCTAACCTTATCAAAAATCTAGATGTGGTTGTAAAAGTCTATCTTAAAATTCTGAGCATGCACTGTTGATAACGTACTAGCAACTAACATACGAGGAGTATTGAGAAACGAAAATCAAAATATACGATAGATATTTCACAGTTACTTGAGTTCCCATTCGATGATACTTTTTCTCACCCTATAAATTATAAACAGAACCCTAGATATCTTATGGCACCAACGTTACTATTGAAAAAAATGGCAACTAAACTAACAAAAAAAGACCAAGTAAACTTACTTTTTAATCTTATTAAATTTGACTTGAAACTATTATTATTATATTCCTTATTCAATTTGTCTTTGATCTCAGCATTAGGAGTAGAAGTTTTATCACTTTTATGCATGACTACAATTTTACTTTTGTTCACTTGAGAACTGCCATGTTTACAACTTTTTACTTGCGATGATATCAATTTACCATCGTCTTTACCAGGTCGGTTAATAGTTGTTGATATTTTTGAAGACATTCTATCTAGAGAAACATCTGTTTTGTTCTTAAAACTTTTAGATTGATTTAGCACAGTTGATTTTCGGGAAGATTTATTTACATTGAAATTATTTATTATTGATGAATAGTTTGAAGACTCTAAGAATCGTGGGAATGAATCGGTTTTCATTAATGTATATACCTAGAAATTTGAACAAAATATACATTATAGATAATAAGGACAAATAAGTAATAAACAAAATAAATGAATCGATAAAACTAAAACGGTAAACGTATGTCAAGTAATCAAATAAAATGACTCGACCCGAAAATGGAACCCATCAGCTGCTCCACATAAATGATAAAATTCATTGCTATATGTATATCAGTAAGTAGAACCTGGTAAATATGTGCATCGTTTCAAGTTGCCATACGCCATTAGTACAGACAGATAAAACTACTAGGCAACACACCTAAATGGTAAAAGTACTAACTGTATAAGCGGTAATAGATTAGGGATCAAAAGCACGATTCAAGAAGAAAATATAAATCAGTGATATGAAAACAAAAGCAGTTATGAGGCATTCAAGAGCTCTGAACTTGAGGGGAACGACAAAGAAGTGATGCACCTGCACCATTGGAAACGATTTTGGACCATGACCTTCAGTCTCCAACCATGTAGTCTACACCAATCAACATGGCTAGATTCAATTACCAACAACTTCGTGGACTGACGCCATGTTTTGGTTTGGCCGCCCCTAGCTTTCTTCTAGTCTACTCTCACACCGGAAAGCATCGCCCAACGAGGTAGATGGTGGTTGGAGGTACGTAACACATCCCAACCGTCTCATTTGATGAAGATTTACTTACTCGTTATTCGATTTCATATCCTTACCTAGTAGCCTGTTCCTAACCCAGACATTACTAACTCTGTGGTCCAAAAATATATGAGCAATGCTTCAGAAACAATTATGATCTGGCATCAGTAACCTATAAATATCCTCTACTCTTAATGGTCATGTTTAACACCCATAAAGTAGAACTGAGCTTACTGTGTAGCAGTAAGCTCGCCCTTTTTTGGCAGACGGATCTCTCCCCCACGCAACAAGTGACGCAAGTCGGCGAAACCAAATCGAGCCCTCCTAATCCGTGCCGAGATTTCGTCGGACACCATACTATCATGATTGATGAGACTCTCAAGATAAATAAAGTGGTCGATGCGTTCAACTACTTCATTCTTTATCATTAATTGAAAGGCTGACGCAACCTATTCAGAAGTAACATCTTACTTTGTTTGTTTTGACAGCTTTAAGCTGAAGTGATTGATCGATTAGTCAGTTATTATATTTTACAATACAGTAATCAAATCATTTGAGTTTTCAAGTTCAAACACAGACTTATTCGCAAAAGCACATGTATATTTTGATATCATTTCAAGGTCAACTAGAAAAGTGCCATCTTTACGAATGATTTCAAACGCACTAATAATAACATGAATTATATGGATTTTGTGGACTCGTTATATTATTTCCTAAATATAACTTAGTACCTATTTTCAGGAAACTGTATAAAAAGTTGCAGTAAGACGTGCTTTCTTTTTTTCTAAATTAAAACGAATAAATCTATATCAGTCTATGAAAATGTCACATGTGCTGAATGATCTTAAAATTTTTAAGTGTTAACGTTTCAGGAGGTTACTGAAATGGAGAACTTGAATCTAGGTAAGAATATTATGTAGAATAAACGTGAAGGATTTAAGAATAAAAGTAAATCGTATATATAATTCAGCCTGCTAAACATAAGGACGTTTAGTTATCACTATAATCTAGATTTTAATTTACCTGATTTTCAGCTTCTAAGAACATATCTACATGAGGATGTGATAAACAAGATGAGGCAGACTTTATAGCTAAATGATCTATGTTTACAGCTTGAGTAGCATCAGAAACCAAGAATTGACTAAATATCTCATTTGCTTTCTTTTTCACCTTAATGAAATCAAGAAACGAAAAGAATACATTGATATTACAACGGAAATTAAAACCTTTGGTCACAAAAAAAATAAACGTGAATAATATGAACAATGTAACGGGTGCTACGGTTATTTTTCTATTAATCAGCTAGTCCGAGATAATGTGCAAATTGGTAAGAAAATGTCTTAGTCCCGGTTGCCACAATTTACAAAAGCACAGAGAGTGTATAAATCAGTAGTCGAAAAATACACATGAAAGATATATTCAAAAGGGATCACAGAATAAGAACAAAAAAATTAATGTCAAGCTCATGAGTCGAAAGATAAATAATGAATTCTATCCCATCAGGGCCATTGGTTTTGACTCAAATTCGAGTAAGAGATATCCGGTTTCATAATGCTGACCACTCAAATGAATGCAGGACAAAAAACTACCTGCAAATTTAGAGGAGAAGGTGATGTATGGTTGTCTTGAGTGCTGTTAGAGGTATGAGGGCGGTTATCACTTCCCGGTTTTCCACACCATGGAAGGGTTCTTCTGAAGGTACATGAAAAAGAAATTGGATTAGAGGTGGTCTTAGTGACCTGGGAGCGTGACCGCAGTGCCCAAGGGAAAACTGCTTGAGGTCGGTCACACACGACCTTTTTATGGGTAATTTTTGTGTTAGCTCCGTACTTGGTGAGACTTTACCGCTGGAGACGGATATCCGTGGGACAAGGCGAGGTGTGCATTTTTAGAGTCGACCTTTTCTAACCCCACCCCTCCTTGCGAGAAGGCAGCATCGCTATCATGTTGGGTGTCTGAAGGAAACACCTTACTGCAGCCACACCTCTGTACAGTCATCAGCAGTACGACTTCGCCTTCAAACCTTGGGTTTGGTGCTTTTAGTCTTACCGATCTTCAGCCAACCTGTCTGTCATGGTAGGACCTTGGGGAACGGTTGTTCCAGCCAGTATAGCTCGGTTGCTTCATCACGATAGGCAAGCCCGATCACCACGCCAAGGTAGCAACAACGGTCGGGTAGTGAATTTAAAGTATGATTGGCCATTGAACGTGAACAAACAGATACTTAGCGTACGGGATATTAAATATGTGATTTCCTTTCCTGTTACGGATTTCTATTCCGGATTCACTGGGAGTGACTGCTTGTAATTGTGTGGATAAAGTAGTTTGGTCTGTACTGTGGTTCTCTATTCGGGATCGTGAGTCCTGGTTCTGATATAACGTGACTAGTTTTTTTACCGTATTAACGTATTATTTTAGTATACTTGAGGGAGAAAAAATATTTTGAACCGTCCGTTGTATCAGTAACCGAAGATTTCTAAATATAGATTACAACTACCCCGCAGATCCCTAGTGCAAAGACTGGCCAACCAAAATGCCTCAATCGAACTGTCATTTACTTTGTGGAGTGGTTCGATTTTTTCGTTTGGCTTCTCCTTGATCTAAATTTAGTGAAAAGCCAATATCATAGTTGAAAGCTGAGGTAGAATGTTATCAGAGTAAGTCGATTTAGAACACATATTTTTTACCAGTAATTATTAGCTACATTCATAAAGAGCTACAGTGAATCTTTGCCAGTGTTTTTGCCAAACTGATATTTGGATATTAACAGTGCAGATTTGTATCATAAAATGAGGATCTAGATGAATCAGGTAACTTAAGACGCTATTATTTTAGGGATCGTATTATTAAGACTAGTTCTTGCATCATCACAAGTGTATTTCTATCCCAGAGATTCTGTAGAAACAGTGGATCTGGAGTTCCCACAGCGCAACGATAGCTGTATTATGTTATCATATGTTTGGACATTGAGACTTTGTGAAAGACATACTGTGGTACATAAAAAACAATGTCTTGAAATATAGCTCAACACTGAAGTCAATGTGTTATAACTCTGTTTCTTACGGTTAATGACCCAGCTATTCCTATTGCTTAGTATTCTCGGACACCGATTCACTCGACAAGTCCCCAAATCAGAACACGGTTGAACCGGAAGAAGATTATATTCTAAATAGCAAGTCAGAAGCACAATAGGGGAAAACGTCGGTATATTTATAGTTTTTTACATAAGAAGATTCCAGAATATTCTCCGACTATCGACTAGTGCTGATTGGATAAGAATCAGCCAATCAGCGTGCACCTAAACAATCATGCATTGGGCATGCTTTAATCTAGTCTATGTCCCGCTAACACAATGGAAATTCTGTTGTGTATTACTTTTGTTATTTACATAACCATTTACGTGTAGTTTACAAGAGAAATGAACTTATATTAGTTGGTGTGGTATATTTCGTGCTGCTTCAATGTGTCCATTTGTTCCGTTAGAGTCAATACTATAAGAGAAACCACAAAGGATCATGAACTAAGCGGACCGAGTTGGAAAATTGAATTTTGAAGGGATGGAAAATATTCAAACTGATTTTAATTAGTCAGGTAAAAGAACACACGGACAAGACTTACAGTTTAACATTGCTAACCAACTATATACGTCTATACAACAATCATTAATAACGATTACAGATCACAGAAATAAAAGTAACTTACATTTCCGGTTTCAAAGGAATGACGCCAACTACGGACTGAAAGCAAAAAATCAAGATTTTCACTGCTGAATTCTGTTATCAGAAATTTCTGAAAGGAAAAGAAAGAAGCGGCAAGTTGAGATAAAAAGTATTAAGTTAATTCAAAGAAACTTAACCAAATATTTTAAAGACAAACTACTGAAGTTGAGTAATAAATAGTCATGAAACAAGTGAGGAGACAAGCGTTTGGGCGAAATATGTGGTATGCTAGAAATTGGTTTATTTATTTAATACATACGTTTACAATTACAGAGTATCATATTGACATAGTAGCGCGAATTACCCCTAACTGTCAAGTTTTAATTGATTGGAGAGTAAGTGACCTACAAACGGATTCCCTCGAATAACCTGGGACATTTCATCATGTTATTTTGTGCTGGTGTTTTGTAAATGAATATTTCATCTTAGTGCATAGAAAAAACTGTCCTTCTGGCTAGCGGTCTTATCTTTAGTTTCAAACTATTTTGATGTTTAAACCCATAAATTGTTATCGTGTGTAGACATCACACAACCATAAGGCATCATTCCATATTATGGATCGAGCGACCATTTCTTCGATCGATTTTTACGATAGAAATTTCGTTCATAAAATATAGAAATTCCCCATAACAAGTAGAACTAACAAAACACCACTCTCTAGAAAAAGCAATGGATTATAGTAAATGTACAAGTTAAATAAAACCAAGTAGAATACCGATATAATATCCGAAAGAAAGGTGGATTAATGACTGACGGATGAATTCATTTCACTAGCAAAATTTATCACCGCAGTTGATAAAGGTATGACAGGTGGCAAAGTAAGAAACGTCATACATAAAAATCGGCCCGATAAAATACGAGGATATTATCATTTTGACCTTTCTCAGTCTCTCCTGATCCATACCTGCGTTTAGCTGATGTCCGTTACTTACTTACGCCTGTTACTCCCAATGGAGCATAGGCCGCTGACCAGCATTCTCCAACCCACTCTATCCTGGGCCTTCTTTTCTAGTTCCATCCAATTCTTGTTCATTTTTCTCATGTCTATCTCCATTTCTCGGCGTAATGTGTTCTTTGATCTTCCTCTTTTCCTTTGACCTTCAGGATTCCATGTGAGGGCTTGTCTTGTGACACAGTTGGGTGCTTTCCTCAATGTGTGTCCTATCCACCTCCAGCGCTTCTTCCTGATTTCTTCCTCCACTGGGATCTGGTTTGTTCTCTCCCACAGTACATTGTTGCTAATAGTGTCCGGCCAATGGATCTGAAGTATTTTGCGTAGACAATTGTTAATAAACACCTGTATTTTCTGGATGATGGCTTTCGTAGTTCTCCAGGTTTCTGCCCCATAGAGTAGAACTGTCTTGATATTTGTATTGAAAATCCTGACCTTGGTGTTGGTTGACAGTTGCTTTGAGTTGCAGATGTTCCTCGGTTGTAAATATGCTGCTCTTGCTTTGCCGATCCGCGCCTTCACATCTGCGTCGGATCCACCCCGTTCGTCAATGATGCTGCCCAAATACGTAAAGGTTTTCACATCTTCCAAATCTTCTCCGTCAATTGTGATTGGATTGGTGCATTCTGTGTTGTATCGGAGAATCCTGCTTTTCCCTTTGTGTATATTGAGACCTACTGCTGCTGAGGCTGCTGCCACACTGTTTGTCTTCTCCTGCATCTGTTGTTGCGTTTGGGATAGAAGGGCCAGATCGTCTGCGAAGTCTAGATCATCCAACTGCATCTTGGATGTCCATTGTATCCCGCGCTTTCCTTCAGACGTTGACGTCTTCATGATCCAGTCGATCACCAGGAGAAAGAGAAAGGGTGAGAGTAAGCAACCTTGCCTAACACCACTCTTCACTTTGAACGACTTTGTCAACTGTCCTCCATGCACGATTTTGCAGTGTAATCCATCATATGAGTTCTGTATAATATTGACTATCTTCTGAGGCACGCCGTAGTGTCGAAGAAGTTTCCATAGTGTTGTTCTGTCCACGCTATCAAATGCCTTTTCGTAGTCAATGAAGTTGATGTAGAGTGATGAATTCCATTCAATTGATTGTTCCACAATGATCCGTAGAGTTGCGATTTGGTCTGTACACGATCTATCCTTACGGAATCCTGCCTGTTGGTCACGAAGTTGGGCGTCTACGCAGTCCTTCATCCTGTTTAACAATACCCTGTTGAAGACTTTGCCCGGTATTGAGAGAAGAGTGATGCCCCTGTAGTTATCACACTTGCTGAGATCGCCTTTCTTCGGTATTTTGATCAGTAGTCCTTCTTTCCAGTCTTTTGCTACTTGTTCCTCATCCCAAATCTTATTGAAGAGAATGTGGAGTATCCTTGCAGTTGCCGCTACGTCTGCTTTTACTGCCTCTGCTGGGATGTTGTCCGGTCCTGCTGCTTTGCCACTCTTGATTTGTCTGATGGCCATGCTGATTTCTTCAATTGTTGGTCGGCCAACATTGATTGGGAGGTCCGTGGGTGCTGCTTCGATGTTGGGTGGGTTCATTGGAGCTGGTCGATTCAACAGTTCTTTGAAGTGTTCTACCCACCTGTTTTGTTGCTCTTCAATGTTGGTGATTACCTCGCCTTCCTTGCTTTTCACTGGTCGTTCTGGTTTGTGGCGATTTCCAGAGAGTTTCTTTGTCGTGTCATACAATTGTCTCATGTTTCCTTCTCTTGCAGCCTTTTCCGCCGTCGTTGCTAAATCTTCCACATATTTACGTTTGTCGGTTCTGATGCTCCTCTTCACTTGTTTGTTTATTTCCGTGTATTCAGCTTGTGCCTTGGCTTTTTCTGCTCTTGTTCGGCTGGTATTGATCGCTGCCTTCTTGTTCCTCCTTTCTAGAATCTTATCCAGTGTACCAACAGTGATCCATTCCTTGTGGTGGTGCTTCTTGTGACCCAGGACCTCATGACATGTTGAAGTGATTGCCTCTTTGATCCCCTTCCAGTTGCTCTCCACAGTAGTTCCTTCTCCATTGAGTAGATCATGAAAGGCCTGGAACTTGTTGCTGAGGACTATCTTGAATTTGTTGAGTTTGTTAGTATCCTGGAGAAAGGCCGTATTGAACTTTTGTGATACTGTCTGCCCCGTTGTCCAGTGCTTCTTGAGTTTCAATTTCATCTTGGCGACCAGTAAGTGATAATCTGATGCTATATCAGCTCCTCTCTTGGTTCTCACGTCCTCTATAGTCCTCCTGAACGTTTTGTTGATGCAAATATGGTCGATTTGGTTTTGTGTAGAGTGATCCGATGAAGTCCATGTGGTTTTGTGTATGCGTTTATGTGGGAATATGGTGCCGCCTATGACCAGCTTATTGAAGGCACATAGATTTGCAAATCTCTCACCATTTTAGTTTCTTTCTCCCAGTCCGTGTCGTCCCATGATGTCTTCATATCCAGTGTTGTCCGTTCCAACCTTGGCGTTGAAATCTCCCATCAGAATGGTCAGGTCCTTTGTTGGGCACTTCTCGACTATTGACTGCAGCCTATTGTAGAATTGATCTTTAGCGTCTTCATTGTAGTCGTTGGTAGGCGCATAGCATTGGATGATGTTCATTGAAATGCCCTCTTTCTTTGTTTTGAAGGAGGCTTTGATGATCCTTGGTCCATGAGATTCCCATCCTATAAGCGCATTTTGCGCTTGTTTGGACAGCATCAATGCAACTCCTTGTGTATGTGGTGCATTTTCTTCTTCATGGCCGGAGTATAACAGGAGCTCTCCTGTAGTTAGTCGTTGTTGTCCAACTTGTGTCCAATGTGTTTCACTGATCCCAAGTACATCTAGGTTGTATCTTCTCATTTCTGCAGCAATCTGGAAGGCTCTTCCGGTGTCCCACATTGTACGAACATTCCATGTACCTAAATAAATGGTCGCTCTGGTTGTCAGAAGGGGCATCGGCCTCGTAACTTCCGAAGGGATTCGGCTTTCATCATGAGGCGTCATAATTCTTCTAAATGAAGATCTTCTGACTCCCAGGGCAGAGTTTAAAAGGTTTGAATAATTTTTTCTGGTTAGCGTTTTTTTAGCGAGTTAGTTTTCTACGGGATGGGGACGCTAACCCCATGCCCAACCCTCCTCCTTTATCCGGGCTTGGGACCGGCAGTAGCCCCCGGAGGGACTCCAGGCGGAGTTAGCTGATGTCCGTAGTTGATATCTATTAGCAATTAACACCGCATAACATTATCATTAAAGAGACACTTCAGAGAATGTATTCATGGATGATTCATTATTTCCGTGGAAAGAAAGAATAGTGATTTTGGAAGTTGCTAATATCTCATACATCCAGGTTTGTGACAAAACCATATTTTATGATAGAAATTTTCCTACGCTAAAATTTCACAACACGTTCAACAATCAATGAATCGACAATTAAAAGACATCAGAATCCTGTGTTTAAATGCACTAGAATATAATGCGCTGTACTTTTTTTGGAATAAGTCAGACAGTCAGCTACAACTTGGGACCAGGAACATGTATACATCGGTCCCAGTTGCCACACCTCATTAGCACAACAAGATCAACACCGAATTCATAGAAGTAGTTAGTTCAATGGCAGTAATATATAAAAGAAAGATTGTGTACAAGAATATAACCCAAGAAGAAAGAATTAGTTGGTAGAAAGAAAAGTATAAAACAATTTTAATTTCATAGTTTAAATAGAGAAAATCAGTCTTTAACAACAATCACCGTTAAACAACATTCTACTTCAAACAGTATCCTAAATTAGATTCCTGAATGGTGAAAGAAAATAAGAAAAAAGCGTAATTACCCTAAATTCATTGCAACCGACAGGGTCATTTAAAAGGTTATCAAAATCTTTCGCCCATGACATTGGATTTGATGACGCACTTGACGTATCATTAGGTGGCTCTATATTTTCCGTATCTTCAATTTCAGTAGTAGAACTAAAACAACTGATTTTTGGTAGCTGTTCATTACAATTCGTTTTTACCTAAGTATGAAACAAAAATAAATAAATGTCCTACTGATTAATGTTGGTACCACTTAATATTTTTGGAATAAGTAATATACGTTATTTTAATACGACCTTCAACATAAAGTGTAACAAAATAGACAGTTCGTTAGAAACGAAAACAAATTTCTGGTAATTTACAACATTAATTACATAATGAGATAGACAAATCAGCTAGTTCAATACTTTTCAATTTGAATTTTTAGTCTTTAACCCTCAAATTATAGAGGAAATCAAGCAGAATGAAAATCCTGATATGTATTAAACCACCTATTATTTGTATAATTTACATGAATATTCTTTCCAATCGTTTCACTCTTTATCAGCTCAAAACTATGCCTTTAGCAAGGATTAATGTGAAGTACCTACTTAAAAACTAAATGTTTTAATCCGCTTAAACAGTGCTCAGAAAAATAAGATAAAATTCATGTTGTGAATGTGGAATACCAACAAACAGCTTGTGAGGAAGGAAATTAATATTAATTTAAGATGAATACAAGGTCAACTGTCAACACATTTTCATTAACTTACTTTGTGAATTTCTAATACACTCTTACTAAGCTATGTGCTTATTTTATTTTATTTATTTATTGTAACACATAGATATTGGTACAAGGAGGCACCAAATATATATGCGCCACACTTTGTGTGAGGGCTGTGACACTGCCCAGGTGCCCAAACTGAAGCAGGTTGTTTTCTTAGGGGGGCACTCCCCGAGCCTTCGACCTGAAGGTCTCGTCCACAAGGCAGTGGAGCATCGTAAGGAGATGCATTCCCATGGTAGCCGTGACCAACAATTAGTTCATACGCCATTTCTTCCTTCAGGATACTGGAGCCCATGTGAACCATTGTAATCGATCAACTTAAAAGTATTCTTAATGTTATTAAAAACATCATCAACAGAGCTCCCATCAAGAAACTCGACTTCTCACCCTAGATAGCGAGACAGGGAGGAAGAGGATAGAAGCAGTCTTGTTCCCAGTGTTGGGACTGAAGTTGCAATATATTGGCTTGGTGCAATAACATGTCAACCTACTAATGGGTAGATTTTGATTGGTATATATATAATGGTAATTTTAGGATTGTAGTATCGAATCCATAGATAATTTACTAAATTTCAACTAGCCTTTTAACTGTACCATTGACGTTTGGAAAGTGTACACAAGCGAGTATTTCACTAATGACAGTGTGTTAAAAACAAAAAATTCGAAATTCAGACAACTATGGTTCACTTAAGGAGTTAGTTTCCTAGCTGCTCATGGTATTTGTTAGCATGTTCCACCACCGAAAGATAATCTTGTGAAATGGTACGTCTGACTGTACAAGGATGTTTAAGATTTAAATGAAATTATCAAAATTCAAATACCTTTAGTTCACGTCGATCTAATATCGTTTAGTTCACTTTACTACAGTAAAGACGAAAACGTTTGAACTTACCATTTCCAAAGAATTCTTTGAACTCACAATTCGTGAACTTAAAGATGAAGTGGCCTTTAAAAACTTTGAGATCAAGTTAGGATTTATTGGTTCAGGAAGAGAATTACGGGATCTTTTAGGCTGTAAGTGTGGAAATATGGTAAAGGAGAAAGAAATAATGAAATAGCTGAGATATTATGTCTTGCAAGTAGAGAATTGTATATATTTGCAAGAGGGGAATTTAAAACAAATGAACTAGTTAATTAATGAATCAAGATATCAGTTGTCAACTAAAAATTGGCACTGTTCAAAAACTCAGCATGAGTGGATAGAGAGACCTAAATTGACACTTACATTCGAAATCAAATTTGAGTAATCTATGACTAACGATAAACAGCATAAACAAGGCGAATCAATCCTAAAATATCCTTGAGTGGCCTATAAATGATGCAACAGGACATGCTATTTTTAAGTGGATATCACCAACCAATAAGAGTCGAAGATACTCGTAAGCTACTAGTATCTGACCACAGATGCCTTAGAAATATTGATGGCGTCTGCTGGGATCACCGGGTTAATAACAGTGAGGTTAGACACAAGGTATTAGGGAATGATGGTAAATCAGTTGATGAGGTTGTGAATCTTCATCGACTGAGATGGTTGGGCCACGTGTTACGTATGCCTGAACACCGATTACCACGACGTGCAATGCTAACCGGTGTTGGCGATGGTTGGAAGAATGTTGGGAGCGGCCAAACCAAAACGTGGCATCAGTGCTTGAAGACAGTAACTTCTAGTCTGAGCCATGTTGGTAGATGCAAACTACTCGGTTGGGGTCCGCGTGACTATCGTAACCATGGTTAGAGAATCTTGGTAACACGGCTCTGAATCGATCACAATGGTGTAGATGCATAGACTTTCTGTCTTCCCTTAAACTAAGAGTTTAAAATCGCTTCATATATTTCTTTCTACGAACTAATTCTTTCTTTCTGTACTATATCCTTATTGCAATCTTTCTTTTATATATTACCACCACTGAATTTTATCTTATTATTATTATTATTTTATTTGAACACATAAATGTTGATACAAGAGAGCGCCAATATATATGCGCCACACAAAACAATGAGAATTCGAAGAGAAAGAAAAAAAAGGTAAGGAGTGCAAAAAAAGAGAACAATAACGAAGAGGTTGTTGCAAGGTAGTGTAGTAATAATAATAATGGGGGAACGGAAAGGTACAATCAGAAGAAATCTTTCAGTTAAGTAAGATACAACCACGTTTTATGAAGAAAGTAAAAGAAGGTTACAGCAGGATCGCCACTGGCTTCTATTCTGAGTCATATCTGATAACGTCTCCAACGGCTGCGTTGCACCATCTCTCGAACCCCAACCAGGGAGTCGTGAAGGGCGAACACAAGCCAGCCTTTTGCTGCTTTCTTTCATACCACGACACCATGTCATACACTGACCACCTCTCCGCTTTTTCCAACCAGTCCCAGAGTCGGCAAATAATGCACGACGTGGAATTCTCTGGGACGACATTCGTAGAACATGTCCAAGCCACCGAAGTCGGTGTTTCAAGATGGTGACATCGATTGCATTATCATCTCTGTGCCCTAACACACGATGCCGAACCTCTGCATTACTGACATGGTGTTGCCACTGGATGTCAGAAATTCTTCGGAGACAGCGATGATCGAACACAGAGAGTCGTCTAACGTCCTCAACTCGGAGAGGCCAGGTTTCACAAGCATAGAGCAAAACTGCTCTCACCGACGCGTTGTAGATCCGGCCTTTTACAGACAGACTAACATCACGAAGGCGCCAAAGGTGGCCCAGATTGGCATAAGTCGCTCTGGCTTTCACCATACGTGCATTGATCTCATCACTCACACCACCACCAGCACTTATGTAGCTATCCAGATACACGAACTTCTCGACTACTTCTATCTCCTCACCATCCAGGGTGAGTGCAGGATTAGAATCCTGCCAGTCTTTTAGAAGTACTTTACACTTCGAAGGTGCAATGCACATACCATACCTACGGACACTGATTTCCAACTGATTAAGTGCGGATCGCATGCCTTGGACATTCTCGCACAATAAGACAATATCATCCGCATACTCAAGGTCGAGAAGTCTTTCTCCAGGCAACAGATCAACACCACCATTACTTACATCCATCAGAGCTGTTTCTAGAATATCATCGATGTCAAAGTTGAAGAGGAATGGTGAGATTCGGTAACCCTGCCTAACCCCAATGCTTGAATGGAACAATGGAGAGAGGTGGTTCTATGTCCTCACTCTGCCTGAGGTGTTTGTATATAGGGCTTTTAGGATGTTAATAAACTTCTCAGGAACACCCATCTTCAATAGACAATACCAGAGAACAGTCCTATCCAACGAATCGAAGGCAACCCTGATGTCAAGAAACACTACGATTGTTGGCCTTTGATAAGTATGGCGGTGTTCTAACATTTGGCGGAAGGTGAAGATATGATCAATACATCCTCGACCAGAACGAAACCCAGCCTGCTCCTCGCGAGTCAATCTTTCTCGGGTTTTAAACAACCTACGAAGTATGACGGAAGCCAATAGCTTGGACGCAATCGGAAGTAGACTTATCCCCCGATAGTTGTTACAGAGACGACGTGAACCCTTTTTAAAGATAGGGACGACTATCGACTCATTCCATGACGTTGGTTCACTCTCTAGCTCCCAAACCTTTGTAATATAAGTATCCTAATACTCATAGATTAACAATAAGCCGCTTCATGTATATTATCTGCCAACACAACAACGAATTAGTTGTAGTGGTTTTTCGTTGACATTAAGAACTTAATGAATCTATCTGGGTTCGACTGTAGTCTTATTACGTGGAAAACCCTATTTGGATCAGTCAATTCACTTTTGGAATATTAATGATGAAAAATCTGTCATTTTGTAACTAGTAGTATATCATACATATATTTGGTCAGAGAATCAAAACATATTTAAATACAACGAATCGAAAATTCTAAGATAAGACGAAACATAATGTTGACTCTACTGATAACTAGTATATTGACTAGTCATAATCAAGGTGGAGCCTGAAACAGTCGTGTGTTGGTTGAAGTTGCCAAAATCACATAAATAAAATGAAATGCAAAATATAAGAGAGGTAGAAATAATGTATTAGCAGTGAAAGTTAGTAAAGCTAAGTGACGGGAATATGGTTTGGAAAGATTGGGAAGGAATGTATGAAGGAAAACTGGAATTCAAGATCAAGAACTACAATACCCTGAATCTTCAACTGCTATTCTCGGTAATCGCGAGGATTTTGAGATAGTCTACACCTACTAAAATAGCACAGTTCAACATACAATAGCCAAACACGAGTTCGGGTATTCGGTTTAGAGCAACCACTGCATGAGGAATAGTGGTATTGTCCAAGTATTAAAGTTCCAGTCAGTCATACACAACGCAGAACTTGGCACGTGCGAGTCGGTTTAAATCGCCATACCCCCGTAAGCATAAGAAAGATCAAATTGCCAGAGCGAATCTCGAAGGAGTGAAGGTAACAAAAGTTTTAGTGGTAATAGAAAAGATTAAGCATTGAAAATACACTTTAAATTATTCAAGTAAAAATAAATCATGGTTGATATATCGAAATTCGAACCTGTGACCTACTAATCGAAAGAATGTTTGGAACAACAAGCCACTATTCTACCATTCCAGGCACACTTAGAAATCTGCCTTTAAGAAGCTAAAAGCAATTACTGTTGAGTTGCAACTCTCTATGAAAAAATTGCAGATAGAGACATTCACTCTTAGCTACTTCATTTATTCTACACTGCTACAAATTATTCTCACTCTAACAAGTAAAATATGGTTAATGGTGATATGTTGATTCACGCGTAGTTAGCTAACAACAAAGTAACCATGTATATATTACCCCGCTGGTCTTTTTGACTGGAGTTGAATTATGTATTGACTTGACCTGAAACAGGTGCGCGCCAGGTCCAACAATGAATGAAAGTTACTGGAATACTTGACAGATTATTGAGATAAAGGCAGTATCCATTTACATTGTTTTAAAAAATTTACGAAAAGTACATTAAAGTAATTACGAATTATTTTACCGAAAAGTATTTTTCCACTTAAGAGTCCTCAGGATGACATTAAGAAACATTTACCTGATTAGCATGATGGTTTGGATCCTGGAAACTTATTGCTATTGAATTTGATTTCGTGTGAAATTCTGTCGAAGAAATATCAGCTGAACTGTGATATATTTCGGAACTTCGTCGTGAAACGCTCCGAAGATCTCCAATATTCATAGTGCTTTGTAATCCTGAATTCCCCAGCATAGTTTGTAAATGGGATAGTGCACAAGTAGTGCTGGAAGGGAAATTACAGCACTCGCCAGTCAAGCGGTCATATGAACAGTTTATTCCAAACGTCTTTGCAATCGCTATGTGACCCGAATGAGATAAAAATTTTGCTGGTAGTGTTCTGAATACATGACAGTTCATTAACTTAACAGAAGCATTTTTTCCTTGGAAAAGAGTAGTTTGAGAAATCATGTTACTTTAGGCTTATAGATCAAGACAGGTTACATAGACATAATAAACATGTGGAATGTTGGAACTGCCTTTTTGCAGGACTCTAGAACTAACATTAAATGACAAACACTCATCTATACCAAGGGTTTGATAGCCTTAGTCTCAGCAGTGCCAGGAGTAAGTTTTATCTAATGACTATATTTTTATACACAGAGTAAATATATTAAAGTGATGCAGAGATCGAACCTGAGACCCAGTGACTGAAAACTGGATCCTTTGACCCTTGAGAATCCATTTAAAAGCAAACAGAAACCACAAGATAGTTCTCTAAGATAAGTAGGAAAAACGAATAGGAAATCCTACTTTTTTATCAACGACTGAGTGTATGAATGCAATAAAAGAATATTAAGTCTCATAATGCGTAAGCGCCTTGTGGAAAAATGCATGAGAACAACATAATTCAACGCAAAATTCCTACTTAGATTTGACTTTAATCTCTTCGAACATATTTTAAATGACTATGGCAATGCTAAACGTTTTGTAAAAGCGCGTTGCCCAAAAACTGAAACTACGTGCTAAACAATAGTACCTAACGAAAAATACTTATGTGTATGTAAGAAGTGTACAGTGGCTTACAATTTAATGATACACTCTACATCAAAAAGATAGGAATGGGGCTATGCTGAAAATCTGCGTAAAAATATGGATACGTATATAAATGAATAACCAAAACTCACCCCGGTTCTCATTGACTTTTATCGTGTTTGCATTACCTTTGTTCTTACTGCGAGTAACAATGTAAAGAAACTTTTCGTCGGAATCAACATGACCAGCTGAGTGCAAACAGCTAACCGGGTATTTTGCAGTGTATGTGTCATGAAGGTGAACCTGGAGAACACCTAAACGGATATCGACCAAGCATATTGATATCGCATGGACATGTATTTTATTAACCACAGAGTTAGTTTTCCTCCTTAGAATCGAAAGTTCTTCAGTATGTGACTTAAAATCAGTAGGCACTGATACACAACCTGCATAAATCAACACGGAGGTTGTTGTGCTATAAGTTTTGTGTTCCGAACTAATCATGCAGTGTGAATCCTGATGACTGGATTCTAAAGAACCAATGATACATTGGCTAGACCTTGATTCCTGTGACTCTACCTAAAGATATATTACAGTTTGAAGGAGGAAAACCTCAATGAATAACTTTTTATGGCATCGCCTAATCAACGAGGCAACTTCTTCGTGAGTAGCACTAATAACATTCACACCGTTCACTTTGAGCAATATATCACCAACTCTAACCCCTGATTTTTCTGCATTAGACCCAGTTAGAACATGATCTATGAGGCAAGGACGTTCATTCTTCAAACGAAACCCATAACCACCAGGCGACCTAGGAATCTCAACAATCCTCCGCATCAAACAGATGCTAAGTGGCTGCGAACATTTGACCTAGAGAAAGGACGTCACAATGAGGGACAAATAAACAATTAAATTCTCTGTCACGTAAATCGTGAAAATAATCAGAAGACTACTGCATAAAAGGCATTTAAGCTTCCCGTTGCATTTTTTGCCAGAAATAATACTAAAAACAGTGAGACCAATTTACAGACGACCCTTGGACGACGCCAGTCTTCAGTCTTTATAATAAGGATAGGAGGTCTATCAACCTATATTATTCCTTGCAGTTTGTAATACTGTGGAGGTCCAATCTCATTTTGAATATATCAACAGGAGGTGCTGATATGACGTGTTCCGGTAGAGAATCCCAATAACTCACTGGGGAAAATTTGGCACATTTTGGGGAAATTTTGGGGAAGCCGCTATGGTAAACTTTGAGTAAATGGCACAAAACCCCAAAATTTCCCCAAACTTTGGGGAAGGCTATTTCACTTCGGGAACTTCCCCAAAATTTACCCAGAGTTTAGAGCTTGGGTCACTACTCGGCGCGAGAAACGAAACTCCGTTTTAGAACTTTCTTCGAATTTTCTCTCAAATAATCAGTTCTAGACGGAAGTAAGAGATAATACGTGTTAATACCAAGGTCATAGTTCAGTATGCGATAAGCCAATATTAGATCACTCCGTATTCCACGGTAAGATAACGGAAATAACTTGAGGTGTCTCAGTCTGTCTTCATAAGATAGGCCAGATAGATCTTTTACCATCTTAGTACCTCGTCGTTGGACTCTTTACAGCATATCCGCTTCACACTTGAAACAAGACTCGCTGCTCGACTCCGACATACTGAGAATGGGTCTCCGAATTTTTATGTCATCAGTGAAGAGTAGAATGGATAATTTTGCTATAGTTGGTAATTCATTTACATAACGTGTAGACAGGTCTGACAAGCCTATTTTGTAAATATTTTTTAATATTACTTGTATTTATTTTGTCAATTTCTCACTAAATGTACATTTATCATTTAATGATTGTACCTGTTGTTTAAGTAAATGACCTTGAACACTTTTTCCGTTGTGATACTACATAGCGTGGCATATCGTTGCTGGTTAACAAATACACTGCTTCTCACACATTCCTCGTTCTATTTTCATTCGAGATTGAGTTAAATGAGATCTAAAACAGATATTATTTACATTCATAGACTGTGAGAGCGAATACACCATATCTTACTTTGGATTACACCACTGGGGAGTTCATCGACACGTTTGGAATTACCAAGCATTTATAATTGTGGATTAATTGTATCAGACTAAAGCTGAACACGCGTCATTTTGGATGAACTTAAGTAAAGTCCCGTTTTTATTGTATTTATAACATTTAACTGGTATATATTAATATTACTATTGCTTTTTATTAACTTTGTTGAGACTTTTTGCGTTTATATTTCGTCTGGTCCACCACAATAACGTAAAAAGAGAGGAGGAGTGAGGATTGTACCTTAGGGAACTCCACTTTTTACAGGTACCCATGAAGAAAGAGCTCCATTAACCCTTACCCTTTGTCTCCTGTCATGGAGAAAGTTACTTATACAATCTAAGACTGTATAATGGATTCCAGAACGTTCCAGTTTGAATTTAAGACCAGAATGTGAGACCTTGTCGAAGACCTCACTTAGTTCTACGATCTTTTGCAGCAGCCCAGTCTTCTCTTGCAGTGAGAGGATTTGTCAAGCGTGAAAGGGCTCTCTGAAAACCATGTTGTTCCCTGGAGAAAAGAATATGCCCTGCAACACAGTTTCTAACAGATATCCGAATAATTGTTTCCATTAGTTTTACAACCGCACTAGTTAAGCTAACGGGTCTATAGTTACTAGCCAAATACCTACTAACAGCCGCATACACCGAACTTATTACTGCGTCTTTCCATTCAAACAGTATCGCTAGAGATTCAGCGATTACTTCTGATATGGCTTTCATAATCCTAGGATTAATAACATCAGTATCATTGGACTTATCAGGTTTGAGATGCTGAAGTAGCCTTAAGACAGTACCGTTATCAATGACTACAGGGTCCATCAACAAGCCGTCACAATCACAATTAATCGTTGGTCATTCTTCGTTACTGATAGAAAACACTTTATTGAAATATTCCGATAAAGCTTCAGCTTTTTCGGTATCAGTTCTTGTCAAAATTGAGGGATTTTCCCGTATCAAAAGTGATGAAATTCCATCGCTTCTCTGACTTCGCCTTTTTAAATACGAGAATAACCGTTTCTGACTATATCTAGAATCCCTGGCAAATTGTTTTTCATATGATCGTCCAGTCTTACTTATTAACGCTTTACAGGCATTTCTAATCTTGCAATAACTGGATCTTTATTGTTCTAAGCCAGTAGAGATTAACATATTCCAGTGATTCTTCCCTTTTCTAAGAAGTTTTCCGACTGTTTTCGTTATCCATGGTGGACTGTTATTCGGTCTTCGCGGTACCAGGTATGGTATGAACAAGGACGTGGCTAAACTTACCTTAAAATACAGACCATACTTCTTCAACTGATAAACTAGTATCTACAAACCAATATGTCTTAACAGCGCATTTCTGAATGGATGATATGTTAACTTTCCATACATTTGGGCGGGTTGAAGCCTGATCGTATAACATGTCCCTAGTTCTAAATGTGAATGACAAAACAGCGTGATTGCTGTTCACTAACGGTGGAAGAATACTTAGGTCAACAGTATCCTCAGTCTCATGAGTGATTACCAGGTCCAACAGAAAAGAACCTTGGTCAGCAGCAAAACGTGTGGGTTTGAATACATGCTGTACTAGTGCATGCTCCATTATTGTTACCAGGAACCTACTATCAAAGGAGTTTATAGACTCTTCCGTGCTCATCTCATTCCAACTATTATCAGGTGTATTAAAGTCTCCTATTATCAAGCATCTGGTATTTGCACTCCAAAGATGAATGTGCTCTAAAATAAAGTCATCAGCTAAGCAGATCGAGCTGCGATAGATGACACCGAGCATAAATGTACTACATCCGATAGCCAATTTACAGCTAATCACTTCACAAGTACCGCTTTCATGAGATTCGCTAGCAGAGGAGCGGATATTTATATTATTGGCTATATATAACAGGACGCCACCTCCTTTCCTACATCCATGTCTATCAATCCTGAGATAATGGTATCCGGATAATTCTGGAGTAATGTCTAAGTTATGGACTAACCAAGTTTCTGTCACTGCTACAATGAGTAGCTCTAATCTGTCCACTAATGCTTCTAGTTCATAGAACTTATTGCTTAGACTACGAGCTTTAGCATATAAAACTCCTAGTCAGAACAGCCCATCCACACAGGCCTTGGTAGCATTCGCTTCCAAGACCTGACTATCCGAAAACCCACTAACCGGAGAATTTCCTCACCATTTTATCGACAGGTTTCTAGTTCAGATAGTGCCTTCTTCCTTTATATTCTATTTTCAAGAGACATATCGGGTCTAAGTCGGATGTCGGAATTGTCGTGACTACGACCGCTACTTAACAAGAGATCACGTTGCTTCTCCGACCCTAGGATTCCTTTAAGGATCTACATGGTCGGGGTTCAACATTGTCCTCAGTCCTCTTACCTATTCTAACCGTCTTTTTTCCTGAACGTTTTTAGAATTATCTGGTTAGATACTACGAATATATTCTCCAAGCTTCTCTAAATCAAGCGCGTGTCTAATTTTGGGATAAAAGTAGTTTGACGTCAGCAGTTTGCTTACAATAATATCCGATGATATTAGATTCTCCTTCTCAGTCACGCCAGGGTGGAATTCTCCCCTACTATCAGACTTTGTTAGTGGATTCTGACTCACAATGGGAGTCTCCCAACGACTTGCTAACCAGCTGTGTCCTGCCTACTGCTCTTCTTTTCGTTTAGTGACCTTGAGAATGTCTACCTATTTCTAGAGCTAAAAGAGGGTCACGAAACACTGTGAAGAATAAACATTATGATTTAAAATTGACACTTATGGCTAGAAATCATATTTATTTTTTCCATCAGCAACTGACAGCAGCCAAAATGCTACGACGAATGTGTGAATGAAATTCGCGCCAAAATCCGAGGTATGTTATCCCACATCTGACTGCTTCATATATAGATTATAGAGTCGCAGTTTATAATTATCTCTTTTTCAGCATTTTCCTCCTTCAATAGTAGTCTCTTTCCACGTATTGGCTTTGAGATATCGTTCTTGGAGGGGTTTCGTTAATAGCGCATCACATTTTCGTCGTATGGTACTATTATTATTGGCTTTATTCAACACTATATTTTGGTACGATATAGAATTCTCAGCACAGGGTATTGCAACAAGTTACTTGCGCAAAAAACAGTGACAAAGACAAAAAAGGTTAAAAAGACCGAAAAACTGTATGACTTTTCAAATTAGAAACATGTTAAGAATGCAGGTTGTTGACTAGAATAACTCTAACAACCTGTTCGTCACAGAGTATATTTGCTACGTAAGGTAATATAGATCTTTTGTACTCTTGCTTGCGTGCATGGATTTTAATGTTAATACGTGTCGTTCTACCAGAAGATATACAACGAGAAAGATAAGAGTGAAGGAGATGGTTAGTATCTGATAAAATAACACCTTCCAGGAGTTTGCATGACTTCAGATGTCTATCCACAACCATATTAATTATGACATCAAAAGATTCACCACACACCTCGCTAACTGCCCTCAGCACTCTCCAAAATACAGCAAAATCTTTTCTCAAAAACTCGGGAAATAATGGACAACAGTAAATAATAATAAATAATATGAAAGAATTGACAAATTGTAAGAGTAAATGACGACTAATCCCAAGAGCATGCAGTCTCTTTACGTAGTAAGTCAGATGGAAAACTTTCTTCGATAACAATAAAACGTGATAAAACCAAGAGAGATCAGAGGAAATGGTACCACAAAGATGATTGACCTTCGACATTGTGTTAATCAAAGAGTCTTTAATGTCACAAGCACTATGGGATCTCAAAATGCTGTTTAGATGCCGTTCATGTCTTACGCTAAAGTT